TTATCAGAGGATCGAAAGACACATTGGTGTGTCTGGTTGTGCTCCACTAATACACTGAAGCTTGCTTATATTCCGGTTCATCGTTTACCAATGAGATGACATTTTTAATTGGTCTGATGGAATGTAATTAATTAATTGGACTGAATATTTAAAGTACTGTTAAGAGGGAGCTCCTGATTAAGTTCAGGTGGTGGTTTGTATCCCTCTTGATGTTGTTAGGATGTTCTATTGTCTGCAACTTTTCTCCCTATTTTTTAGGAAAGTATCCTTTGGTTTTTGCTATAACTTTAGTCTCATTGAAGAGTATTTTGTGTCCTATTGTCTTCGGAAATTCTGCAAGAACTGATTGAATATAACCCAATCTGGCGCAACGCTTTCGTTCCTTCCGTATGGATTCTGAAGTGGTTCATCGATCAAGAATTTTTTAGTTATTAGCTAAATCAATGGTGAATTGTACATGGTTGAAATAATTAAAATTGGGGCTGGTGTGTAGTTAGAAGGCGATTTGATGTGGTGCAACGGTGGTTGTTAGTGGAGGGGTGCGGATAACATGGGATCAGTGGCCCCCATTTGTATTCAGTGTTTGGGGGAAGATTATATGACCCTCTTACCGCGGTCATTAGCGGACATTGATCGAAGAAAATTGGTACTAACTTTATTTAGCTAGAGGGTAGTAATTGAATGTGATAGGTAGCGTGTAGATACTTATTAGTGTTTCATGAAAACTCATATATGTGAAGGCCTAAGTGGATTGTGACTCTGATTGATACAATGTGATGGCACAGGTTTAACTACAGCGGGCCCAAATTGGGTCTCTATAACCAAGAATATTTTTATCCTGTCAACGTTAATGTAAGCGATAAGGTTTCGATGCACAGCGATACTGAACCTCCGTTAAACTAAACAGTTCTATAAGTGATGCTTTGCTGGAGTCTTCATGAGATTAACAATGTACCCTATTTGCTGAGTTTTTTTTAATAAACTGTGAAAGGATTAATACTTGTTCTTTCGATTCCATGTGTGTTCGACTATAGTATACTTCCCATGATTTTCACAGGAAAATCACTATGGTGGTAATACTACTACGTCTCTCAGATCAGACCTTGATACACTGTCTACATTCTTCAGCAACGAAGCAGTTCCAGAAGCCAAATATTATGTTAGGATCCACGAGAATCAGCCTGCGACAACCAGCAGGTATGATTCCATCCATAGGAACCACAAGGTGTCCACGAATTCACCTTGTCCGTGGCAATAAAAAAAAAACGGGTCCCCGATTAGATTCCCATCGTATTATTTCCATGTCTCTTTTTTTTCTTCTTCTCTTAATCCCACGAAGAGAGCAACGTTTATTTCGTTACTTTTTTTCGGGACGATCCTGGGTGTCGCGTCACTAGCGTTAGCGTGTCTCTATATTTAATGTCACATGTTCGGCGTGTATCGCCGCGGGCAAGGTGTCTCTTTCTCGTTTCTTCTTTATTTCCTCCTCGGTTGAGACGTGAACGGGCTAGGCGCGTTCCAACGTTCAAAGACGCACGACCACGCTAGTTTTTCTGCCGTTGGTTACTATTTGTTTACACGCGAGCACAGATTATAACATTAATTCCCATCGATGAATGCGTCACTGTCTCCCGGTTCTATGTATATCCCCATAGTTTGGCTCAGATGGTCGACGATAGGAGCCCCGCGGGATTCTACACTCTTTCTCCCCGCTCGCTCACGATTCTTCGAGTGGACCCTCCGGGGCTAACCAACACAGGCACGGAATCCTTGTGCGTGAGCATTCATGCACCATCCGAGCGTCCTGCCTCCCTGCCTGCATTGCCCCCGGCCATTGCTGCCCCCTTCCATCTATTTCTTATATCTTCCTGCTTCTCTTTATTTTCTTCTCGTCCTTCCTAGATTTTTCTGCTCGTTTCTACCTTGTCTACCGAGGTCCGCGCCAGATCTGACAGTTAAATTTTATACTACGTAGTTAAGTAAGCTTAATTTGATAATAATTGTGTGTGTTAATTTGACGATAAGAGTAATTTATGAATGAAGTTGAAAATGTTGTCAATGAGGAATTAGGAAGGTTAGATCGGAGAAATGTACATAATTATTGTATTATATATGCATAGTGTTGTCATACCTTAGATTCAGGTGTGTACAGGTGAAGATGGTAGCTGTATCGGATTGATTCGAATTAGTCTGCGTAGGATTCCCTAGGATTTCTTACGTTTTTCTTCGTTTTCTTATATTTTCCTATGTTTTTCTATGTCCCTTAGGTTTTCTAATGTTTTCCGATGGATTTCTAATGTTTCCTTTTTTCTTACGTTTCCCTACGTTTTTTTTATGGATTTCCTATTGATTTCTTATGGATTTTCTGCGGATCTTCTATGAATATTCTATAAACTTCCTATGAATTTCTTATGGATTTCCTATGGATTTCCCATGTATTTCTTCCCTATGTTTTTATTTTTATTTTTTCATCCGATTTAATAAACGTGTTTGTTGCCATTTTGTTTAACCCAAAAGAACTACAGGACTGCTCTTAACAGATGTAGATCAGCAGCGTGCTTGTACGCATTGTTTTTCAACACTACGTGTTCCTTTTACCTTACTCATGGAATTTGTTTATCAGTCGTTACTCCTTTACAAACTATTGTAAAATATAGCTGATTAGGTATTAAATAAAGGTGATTATCTTAAGTACCAAAGCGATAATTGCACTCGACTACACTCGTGATTCGCTGATTGTTTGTCACAGATACGAGGGATCAGCGACTTTATTATCAGAGAAAATACATTCAATATCACGATAAAGTGCTTTCAGATATGGTATCTGATTCCCGTCGGAGTAAGAATTTCCATTCGTGAATGAGTAACGACCGATAAATCGCGGGATTTCCTGTCCGGTGGAAAGGTCCAGTAATAAATACCAATCAGTTGAACACACATATTTTACTATAAATACTTTTTCTACTTGTTACCATCTAACATTTACGCACACTCGCACACTCGCTCTACGTCTAAATAAATCTACAAAGCCGTGCACCGTTAAGGATTCACGGGAAACCGCGTGTGTAAGGAACGTGTTTCGTACGTTTGCGCTAGAGATGTGGAAACTATTAGACTCAAAGCGATCGTTTAATGTTCTTTCTCTTATTCGCTGCGGAAATACGTGACCACTTTAAATGATGGTATTATTCGTACGTACTTTGAAATTTACTATTTGAAAGCACTGTGAAGCCATACATTAGTGTCGACCACACAAAATTTTTCAATCAAAACCATACACACAATTCAATCGAAAATTTCTGGGCCATTGTTAAAAGGAACCATAAAAAAAACTGTTAAAATGAAATCAGAATATATACAACAGAAAGATCAATTCATATTCGACATCAGAGTAAAGGTATTGAAATGAACTGTAAAAGGCAGTAATTAAACGATAATTAAAGATGAAGGATAGCAGGTTAAAAGCTAAATACACGTTAACAAAGTGTAAATACATAAAACGTTGTTCCGAAGCAAGGTCTTACTACTTGTCGTTCAGTTTGAGTCTTAGAATACGCACACCTTTCTATTTATCGTCGACGAGTCCTGGCGTCTGTGATTAGTGATGGGTAAACAAACTCTTCAAATATATTTAGACTCCCTGATGAGATGTTCAAAGAGTTCAGACAATATTTAATCATTTCAAACAGTTCAAACAATTGAACTCTGTTTGAATATCGTGCATTTCAAAGCGTCCAAATATGTTTGAACTGTTTGAACATTATGCGTTTGAAATTGTCCATGTGCGTTTGAACTGTTTGAACATTATGTGTTTGAAATTGTCCATGTGCGTTTGAACTGTTTGAACATTATGTGTTTGAAATTGTCTATGTGCGTGGGAACTGTTTGAACATTATGTGTTTGACATTGTCCATGTGCGTTTGAACTGTTTGAACATCTTGCGGTTGAAAATGTCCAAAATCTGTTTGAATTGTGTAAACATCTTGTGTTTGAAATTATTTAAGTATCATTAAACATCGTGTGTTTGGAAATATCCAAATATGTTTAAACATATTGTGTTTGACATTGTCCAACTATGTTTGAACACCATATGTTTGAACGTATTGTGTTTGGAATTGTTCAAATATGTTCGAACATCATATGTTTGAAAATGTCCAAATATGTTTGAATGTATTGTGCTTGGAAATGACCAAGTATGGTTGAACTGTTTGAACATCTTGCGTCTGAAAATATTCAAAATATGTTTGAACTGTGTGAACATCTTGTGTTCGAAGTTATTCAAGTATGTTTGAACACTGTGTCTTTGAAAATATTTAAATATGTTTGAACATATTGTGTTTAGAATTGTTCCAATATGTTCGAACATCATATCTTTGAAAATGTCCAAATATGTTTGAATGTATTGTGTTTGGAATTGGCCAGGTATGGTTGAACTGTTTGAACGTCTTGCGTCTGAAAATGTCCAAAATATGTTTGAATTGTGTGAACATCTTGTGTTCGAAATTATTCAAGTATGTTTGAACACTGTGTGTTTGAAAAAATTTAAATATGTTTGAACATATTGTGTTTAGAATTGTTCAAATATGTTCGAACATCATATGTTTGAACATGTCCAAATATGCTTTAACATCTTGTGTTTCAAAATGTCCAAACATGTTCGGGCTTTTTGTTCACGGACCCATCACTATCTGAGTGAGTCCTTATGGCTGTTGTAATTATGTTGCGGTGCATTTGATTTTTCTGACACGGCACGCACGCCGCCCGAGACCTCTCCGAGGCATGTACCGTTATAATTGTAGAACCAATTAAGTCGCTTCTTTATCTTGCTACCAACAGACGCAGCACGACTCGGCCTCCAGTGATTACACGCAACATCGGGAACGAGAAAACGGTGCACACAAATGGAGTAATGCACACTATGTCGCAAATAATTGCTTACATTAACGCCACGATTCGCAAGTTGAACGGCTTATCTACTCTCTTGTCTGTTCTTATCTCACTTACGCAACTAGCGTGCAACAAACTTGATCGGACGGACAATCGACAACGTTTTGTTGGAGACTCTGAGCGCAGGTGTCCAGGCATTCGCCACCGAAATGGCGACAGTGGGTTCTGTAGTCTGATTTCACTGTGAACACAAACCGTGACATTTTTAAACGGCGATTGGAGCTACGGATGAATTGGTAAATCAGTGAATATTGGTGAACAGGATGTGGAACATATTTTTGAGGTCTGTTTAGTGTCAATATCTGTAATGTCATGTTAAGAGCTTTACGCATGGAAATTTTTAGTAGAATGTAGAATGATAATTGGTCTATCTTGTCTATTTGTAATAGTTGATGGTCCTCCTTATTCAAATATATTAGAAATTATTTTTTTTTAGTTCAAATATGAGTGTTGAATAGATTTTTAAGGCCTGCCGAGTATAAATATCTGTAATCTAATGTTAAGAATTTTGAATATGGTAATTTTAGTGGAAAGTTAACTGGTGACTTTCCTCTATTTATAATTGTTGACGGTACTCCTTATTCGAATTTGTTAGAATTTATTTTTTTTTTTTTAGTTCAAATATCAGTATGGAACAGATTTGGAAGGTTTTGTTGAGGTATATATCTATAATGTCGTGTTGAGAACTTTGAGCATGGGAATTTTTAGTAGAATATAGAATGGTAACTGGTCTATTTTCCTTGTTGATAATTGTTGATGGTACTTTGTATTCAACACTTAGAATTTGTTTATTTTTTTTTAGTTCAAATACGTTTTTGGAACAGCTTTTTAGGGTTTGTTTCGCGCAAATAACTGTGATGTAATGTTGAGTGCTTAGAGTATAGAAATTTTTAGTAGAATGTAGACTGGTAACTGATCTGTCTTTCTTATTTAGAATCGTTGATGATACTTCTTATTCAACTCTTTTACAATTTATTTATTATTTTAGTTTAAATATGTTCAAAATAAATCAAGGTTTTACTTCCATACTTATAAAAAGTGCTCATTAGATTGCAAATCTTACGTGTTTATCAAATATACGATCATTTACAGTTCAGTGTATTAGAAAGTATAATAAAATCCAACAAAGTTTCCATATCGTTTGAAACCTGACAGAATCCCATATAAAATAAACATAATTCTATTTAACATTAGTTTCTACAAATTACTTCATTAAAATATTTATTTACATAAACTTCTTCAAGTTCAATGACTATAAACAAATGCAGCAAAATTTATAGGCATCAAACTCTCTGTGAAAATCCGTGTTTCAGATGTGATTTACGTTGAATTCGCAAATTTTCAAGCAATAGTATAGCGGAAGTAGTTTGAGGAATCGACGAGACGTTAATGCCGTAGCGACACGCGTCGTGAAAGTGTGGACAGTGACGCATGGAATTAACTCGTCAGGTCGTTTCGTTCGAAATTCACGCCGCGCAAAAGTGAATCCCGGGCGAGTGTTGGAGTCGATTTGGCACAGTAGAAATTACGTTGTTGCGTGTGTGACGTACCGGGCGAGCGTGAAATTGGCCGTATACAGTGCTAACGCGCGCGCGGTTACGTTATCGTTACCCGCCTCATAATTGCCATCGGTCTTGTGTACTTTGCGGCGTGACATGAATGAACGGAAAGCGTGGCATATCAATGAGAGAGTGGGCAATCAATAAAGAACGCGTGTAAACAACGAGAAAAAGTGCAAAATGTCACAGAGAACGAACGAACGTTTTCGAATTGTTGGTTCCCAAGAGGTTCTTATTTGACTTTGTACAAATTGCTAGAAACTAGTAATAATTTGTAGTAGTACTTACATTAAATCACTCACGAGCGAGATTTTATGTTTTTATTGATGTTGTGAACGATGTTTGGAAAGAAAAAATTGTTTGTGGATTTTATAGAACTCACCTACGCTGCAACACGTGTCACTCGATTGTGGACACGTTCCACCAACGATCGAGTCATCGCATTTCTCTGGATCGAGACAGTTCTCCTGAGGGCATATTGTCGTCCCGGTTACGTATTCTGAAAATAGACAGTCGATGTTTGCAATAGCTCAACTTTTAAATGTTTCATGGACATTCGGATGACCTTTAGGAATGATACTGGCTATTATGACTCACACCTTATTTACATTTATTACTGATAGTACGAATTGAAGTAACTACCCCTTCAGGGACAGACAATTGCACACAGTATCACTGTTTGATTGCTTCTTTTAACTGCCAGATAGTGTCATTATTCGACTGGTTAGCAAGTGTGAAATGGGTTTTGTAATTCTTGAACATTGTTTTAGTAATATCACAAAGGCGAAAATCAAACATAATCCCTGACACAGCCCTCACGTCACACAACTACTTGAGGAATACAATCACTTTTGTACACCACACAAATCTTTACTCTAAACTCTAATTACTTTAAAACATCGCAATACAAACTGAGCCCCCCCCCCCCCCAATGACCTATATAGTAATTAAAGCGACGTAAGAAAAAGAGATTCGTGACAATCATTTTAGTACAAGTCAGTTAAGGCTGGTCTTAATATTTTATCTAGCTGCAAGTATAATTTTTAAATTTATCCTCTACTGTCTATCGTGATAAAATTATTTTCTATCATCTATATTAGACTACAGACGTACCATAGGATTTAAATTTAGTCGAGCAGTATAATTAACCCTGTTGTTCTCCTCATTTATACTTCACATTAATACAAATTATTGACAAACATTGAAATGATTTGTTCTTAAGAAATGGGAAATAAACACAAAGTGGGCGTAAAAATTAAGTACGTTAGATACTATAAACAAATATTTAAAAACATAATACGTACTCAAATATAATCTTCATTTCGAGTCGTATTGACTCTAGGAAAAGGGCAGGGTTAAGAAAAAAGCCAAAGAGAATACGAATTAACTATTCAACAGCATAATAATATTCAGAGAGGCAAATTCAAAACGTTTATCATACAAAATGTTCAATTCATAATGTATTTTCATAGAATCTAACGTTGTTATTTAATATCTATTACTGCTTCCAAAATTTCAGTCCATATCATAAAATGTTCAATTCATAATGTATTTTCATAGAATGTAACGTTGTTATTTAATATCTATTACTGCTTCCAAAATTTCAGTCCATATCATAAAATGTTCAATTCATAATGTATTTTCATAGAATGTAACGTTATTTAATATCTACTATTGCTTCCAAAATTTCATTCCATATCATAAAATGTTCCTTCTCAGTTTCCACGTTTCGTTTCAATACATTTCGAAATAATCCCGTAAACTGCAAATTCTATATATACGAATGTTTTATGTATTCCATGGCTGCTCGTCTGTCGCTCTTTTCAATGCTCGAATGTAACAGGATTGACTCGAAAAGTCATCTTCGACGCGCGACTGCGTTTTCCGCGATCTACGTAAAAAGTTTCGGAGCGATGCACGTCGGTATTCCGGTTGGTTCGATGGGAAAAAGAGAGAACGGTTCAGACGGGACCGCCGAGGCGCAACATTTCAATTTCCTATCACGCTCTTGTGCCGCGGCGAAGAAAGCCATTCAGTGTTCGAACGATCAAAGGGGAGCCCTTAGTTCTTTTCGGTTTTGCATGCAGTTCCGTCGCGAATTTCGTAATGGAAGCTAAATACTAACCAACAAAGACCCCCTGGGAGGTTTGGAAAATGGGCTGAGGGTGAAATTCCTGATACGCAGTCTTTGATTTCTATTGTTTCTATTCTTCTATTCTATTGTTCTATTGATTCTATTCTTTTTTGTTTGAATTTTTTTTTGTTGAAATCGAGACTACTTGGTGAATATATCAACAGTAAATTAATATTCTCTCGAATGAAGTAGAATCTCTTTCCATTCTGTTATTTATAGATTAATCCTTGGATTTTTATATAGAAAACTGCTTGAGATAAAATCTGATTAGCTTGAAAGCCTTGTACGTGACGACGTGTCGTAAAATTGAAGGACACTTGTATAGTTTTTCAGAAATAGATTCTTGTACAGTTGGTCTGTGAATTTTTAACACTTTCTGTGTCTATACTTTGCAATATACATTCAGGTATAGCTTTAGTTTTATAAAAATACGTTAAACGGTTCCAATTTATCCTGTTTTCCGAGCAATTTCGAATAAAAAGCTTTTTAATAAAGAACTTTTTAAAAACGTATTAAATTGTATAATACATCAATATCTCCAGTATATAAAACAGTACAGTATAATATAGTCTAACGTAAACTATATAATAAATAAATAAAGTCTCACCTGAAAACTCACAAAAGCACCATAATAATTTCAGTAATTCTAAAATACGAAATCTGAATTCATTTCGACGAGTTTAGTGGTTCTGGTGTTAATAATAATAATAAAAATCATTTTCCTTTTTCGACAGTGTCGTGAAATATGTACGAATCGTTGGATGTTGAATGCTTACCGGTCGAAGGCAGAAGGGTGGCCACGAGGGCGACGAGGACAACAGACAGGCAGAGCTTCATGTCGCTGTTGACGGTCGTGGTTATACGCGTGCCTCTTTGACAGTCGACGATTCAATGCTCTCACTTTCCCGGGTGCTGGCATTATATAAACGTAAGCGACCGGTGTTACGCGGGGACACGCACACGCGCGCGCCGCCGTTTCGTCGCCGTGCATTTCATTATCTCTCTGGGTCCCGAACTACGAACACATTGTTGGGTCCTTTGAGCGGTTCGATCGATCGTCCGGTGATTTCCGGAGTGGAACAAGGACGTTCGTGCTTCACCACGGTCTGCAAGTGGTCCAACATCAAAATTTAGCAGTTCGAACGATTACAAAGAAATTTCTTTTATTTTCCAAAAACAAACTCCTATCAGATGATGTTAAAAGAATAATATTATTTATGAGTTCCTTAGAGATTGTTCATCAATAGTTTGGGTAGTACAAACAGGTACTTGTTTGAGAAATTTAACCTGAAACACGAAGATTTTAAAGTTTGGCTATTATCGTGATGTGTTTGGATTAAAGAATTGTTCATTAACTTTTTGGAAGATGTAAGGAAATATGAAAGATTTACCTTCGGAGTGTACGTTTCGTGTTTTTACATGTGCAGACATTTTTATTTGTAAAAACGCAGTTTAAGGAATGGTTTGAAACAGAGAGAAAAATAAAAGAAATGTCCTGAAATTGATAAAAATTTGTGCAATTGTTTATATGTATGTAAATAAAGTTATAAGTGTACGAGTTGATAAATGATTCTGGACCATTGCGCGGTCGGGTAAATACCCGGCGACGTGTATCGCTTGTTGATCGTGTTTACGCACGGATTAATGTTCAATCGATGACCCGAGTACAATGTCAACTGTATTTTGTTTGGATTATCTATACTTCCACAGAGGTTTTTCCGTGGGAAATGGTTCGACGGGTTCGTAATGGCGAAGCGGCCATTTTCTCGCTGGGATGTTCGAGATTGAGGCTTCCCTTCCGTAATTTCTTTATAGATTTACAGATTCTCATGAAGAATTATTTTTGTAAAATTTAATATATAGCATGTATTTTAGGAATTGTGTCGAAAAGAAATGGGTGTGTACGAAGATTAAGGGGTCATGCTCAGTCAGGAGTACGAAAAAAGAGTGTTCTTTGGGAATGTTTTTCTCAGCAACTATAAGACCTTTTTCAAAAAATGTGCTTGTGTTTCAAAGATTGCAGTTTATAGATTATAAGGTAATTTTTTTATTTAAAAAAATTTATTAGTAAATAAACGGTGAGCGATCTCCCGGATGTCTCTTCACAAAAAGTGGTCTGCCGTGATCACTGTAATTTCGTAACGGTTCATCTGAAATTGAAAATTCAGTAAGATTTATATAATGGAAGAACCAATCTTGTCCTTGAACGTGGGATTTTTCGAAATATTGATTAGGAACAAAATAGCGGACGTTTTCCTGAAAAAGTGTGATTTTCACCTAAACAATCACTCGTTTCTGGTCAATTAAAAAAAGAGTATGGAACGAACAACAGAATCCTTCGTTCAAGGACGAGTTTTTCTGATTTGAAATTAGGCGCAAAAGACTTCATGTAAATCGACACAGTAGTTTTCGAGAAATATTGATCACCGATTTGAAAAATGTAGTTTCGAGAAAAACGTGTTTAAAGTTTCAAGTCAAGCTTACACTTATATAAAATGTTCATTTTTTAACGCCTGTAATTCTGTCATTTTTAATTCGATTACCTTGAAACTTGCAAAGAATATTCTCGAGATGTACTTAAAGAAAATGTAGAAAGTGAAAAATCGATTTTTCGAAAATTTCTGCCTGAGCACGACCCCTTAATTCATTTTGCAGAATGTCATTTTAAATTCTCGTTAGAAGGATTAAAGTAATTAAGGTTATTCCGGATCAGTAGTCCCATCGCTGAATCTTCTTTTTTATCTTGCCCTTCGAACCCATAAAATCGCCATCAATTTTCCAGCCATGTCTCTATGATCGAACCGGATCCATGCACTTCGCCTAGGGAAAACCTCGTCTCGACGGGAAGCAATGTTATCCGAATTGTGCCGATAAAAGGTTCAACCGATGATTTATGAGCGGTCGACGATTTTAATGGAACCACCTCGAGGAGTTGGCCGGGAACGATTGTTCTGGGCCAGCCTTTTAAAATGTCGAGACCGTAAGAACGGAACGAGCAGAAAACTTTCGTTCGAGGACACCACTTTGTAGTCATTGGAGTAGCCACTTCCGTATCGTTTGTCTTTCTGATACGCGTTTAAGTGACTTTGGCCATTTGAGGATTGGATTCGGTCATTTGTGGTTGTTTGGTAGTGTTCTTCAAGTTTGCAGATATTTTCCTTTTTTTTGTAAATGTTTCTTTCGATGATGCAGGGGACAGCAGTGACAGTCATGTTCGTCTTAGAAGAATTCAGAAAAGAAAAATGGCGGACGATCTTTGTAGCTTATAATTATCATATACACTAACCTGAGTTGGGCATAATTTAATTCGAATAATAGACAATGAAAAACAGCAGTAATTTAAGATTATAATCCTGGCTTTCAAACAGTTAATAAAATTAAATAATTGTTCGCCAAGTGTATACTTGTTTGAGACGAAATATTGGTTTATTATAAAAATTGGAATTTTCACGTTAATCAATTAAAAATGGCGAAATACTTTTTATCTTTCATTCGTTATTTGGAATTATTTAGATAATGAATTTGCTCATTTTTGACACTTACATTATAGTGGATACCTAGAATATTCGCCTATATTCACATTTTTTAAATTCTTTGATTATATTAGAAAACTTTCTGTAACTAGGTCTATTCTCAATAGCAACGAGATTTCAAATAATGATTCTTTACTGCTGTATATCCTTTGTCTTCCAAATATATTCATTGTAAATGAACAGAGTATGCAGATACTGTTTGTATTTCTTATGTAAATGTTATATAATATTTATAAGCTTTTAAATAAAAAGTTTTTCATATATTGTTTACCGTAGTATTAAGAGCAGTAGATACATATATGTTTCTTTTCGGGCTTATTGTCTCACCTTGTATATGTACCACTGCGTACAACATAAGTGATCCTATTTTGCTTTGAATTCTGTCTTTAACTGTCTAAAATTTTACTATCTAAATGAAGAAAAGAAGATATGATTTGTTAGACTCAATTTCATTAATTAAGTAACAAAATTTGTAGCTTCTTTCATCATGATTATAAATTCTTACAGTGTTGTAATTCTCTTCACACTTTGAACAACTGAAAGGCATTGTAATGGACACCATTTCGGTCACAGCTCGATAAATATTATATTTAATTAGTAACAGGTGTAACTTTTTTTGCAAATCCCCTAAGGGCACTTAACACGGTTGTCTTATCATCTTCCCAACAGTCAAGTATTTTCCCTACCAAACAAACAGATAATATACTCCGATGACCTTGATGTTTTACGATACCATTTATGCACCACTGACGGGGAATTTTCCAGGGATAGACACTTTTTTCCTGACATGTTTGGTAAGCAAATCTCATCGACTTGGATGCTCGTCACCTTCTAGGAAAGAATACTACCACGAATTCTTCGAAGTAAACATTGTGACTATATTTTAGCAAATATAAAGAAGTAACAGATTATATGAGATTTTCCTCGTATTGTGTGGATCAACTTATCGTTTAAAGTTTAAGAGACGAAACCAAATTACTAGATGTATTTATGGATCTATCATTGAACTGTTCACTTATTGTTACGTCACGGACCTTCTAGGATATCCTCGCAATTTTTCTCTGTAGTAAACATTGCGTATCTAATAAGATTAATTAATTTGAATAAAATTTATGTAATGCATTACTCTGATTGTGGTTTCATAGTTTCTTTTATCGGTAGCAGGTACTCTTATAGGTCTTCCGACACAATAGATATATAAAATAATAAAACTATTTCCCTTCTTCAATTTTTTAATCATACCTGATAATATTCGCCAACATGTTTTTAATTTCAGGTCACTGGTTGAAATCTTGTTGATAGAGAAAACGTTTATCAAAGTTACGACCCTCTTGCACCGGTCAGTAACCTGTCCTACCATCGTGTATTTCCTAACTGATACCAGATAAACCATTGTTTTCATTTTATCACTATAATTTACCGCCACACAGGAGATTATTCGTTTATCCTGCGTTAATTGTTGCAAGTTTCCCTCAACTAGTTCCATTTCTGGAACGAGGCGACCAAACGACGATATAAATGCAAAATACACACTGCGATTATTATATAACTTTTCAGTGTTTTCACACAGTATGTTTAGTGTCCTTGTTATACAAGTACAGAATAGATTTCTAACTCTCATGCAATATAATTTAGGTGGAATAAGATGTTATTTAAGCTTGAGGAGACTTAATGCTTCCACGTTTGTTCATGAATTATTTATGAAGATATTTCCAATGAATATAAACTATATGCATCACTATACTATTATATTATTACATACTGGCATTTATGCAACATAATCTTACACTAGTAGAATAAATTTAAAATAGAATGAATGTAACAGATATTATAATTTATTTTTAAATATCTGAAAAATTATACCATTCATAATTAATCTTTTATTTCAGGCTAGGTTTGATACTAGCCTGTATTTTGCTGATCGTCACGCATTACACAGTTTCCTTTATTTCTTTAAGTCGTACTACTATCAGTATTATTCATGTATCATTGATCCTGTTTTCCACAATTACAGATTTGTAACAGTCTATCCATCGGTGACATATTTCCTTTTCCATGTACCCAACGGTGAACACGATTAAAGACATCACGTTCAGTTAAAAATAACTAAGAAAAACAACATAGTCAGTGTCAGAAAGGAATACTCAGTACTTTATTGTTAATCATTCGAACGTATACTTGAATCCATCTTAAGAATTACAGAAAGGTGCGTGCAGAGGGGAACGTTTGAACGCTTGGACTCTCTTTGGCACTTAACCAAGAACGAACAATAAACACGTTCTCAACAATTGTCCATCCTCATGTGTGTTAATTCCAAACGCGTGGCGGTTTACAATAACAACATCTGTCCAACGAAAAGAAGAAAAAAAAAAGAAACGAAAATTTGTTCCCCTTTCTCTCTCATCGTTGCGTTCAAACGTTCGTTCGCGGTCTTGGGAATTCGAGTTAACGGCGTGGCCTAAGACTCGCGTCGATTCCTCTCGAAGCATAACAGTTAACGTCGCTACGCCCCCCGGGGTGGATCACTGGCCCTTAATCGTGGATCAAAGAGGAAGAGGAGCGTGGATATCCAGACATAGGATCGCGTTTGCCCGCGTCTACTTTGCCCGCTAAAAAGATTGTAGCTGAGATCTCTTTTTTCTCCTCGAACGTAAAAAGAAAAGGAATACAATGGAACGATATAAGTACTTTCGCTACTGAGATGGGCTTCCGAATGTACAAGTCTTCGCGTCGAAATTTTCACGAACAGCTGGCGGTCGACTTATTTTTTACTCGCTTTTGGGGGCGAATGATTTCGACCTCGAATCAGACTCCGATCACATTGAAATCGGTCGAACCTAGGTCTAAACGGAACATATACGAAAAGGCAACACGTAATGTTTATGCGACTCGAGGCTGAGTGACTTCGTGAACAATACAGTAAATCCTCGATAAGTGATCCAATGCTCCTTGGCACTGACAAGGAGAGGTCCCCAGGTGTAACGTTGACTTTTTAATGAGGTTTACCACTGTGATAGAGCTTGGAATGCTCAAACTAATTATATTTATTTCAGTCACAAATGGGTATTAGTTTATGAAATACTAGCTTCTTTCCCACGGCTTCGCTCGCGTGGAGTTCGGGATTTGGCCAAAATATTTTCTAAACAAACTTTTTAAATTGGATTGTAAATGAGAAAATAAAAAGGAAATAATAAATCTATATAATATTATATTGTTAAATTGATCCCCGTTTATTCGGACACCTTTTCGCCCCCTAGAGATGGAATTTCAAAAAATCCTGAAATTACATTTCAAGCATTTGTATAAGTATCATTTTGAACAAATACAGAACAAGTAGATTTTTAAAGTAAAAAACGGTAGGATACCTCTCGGGACTAAGAGATAGTAAAGATTCCCAGAAAATACATATTACCCCTCTTCAGCCCTTTACTGGTTGAATTCCGAAAAATCCTCTCTTAGTTGCTCTACTCTCCTCTCTTTAGATGCTTACGTTCTAAGGGAAAGCAACCCCTAAAAGTTCATCCTAGGTTCAGCGGTTTGGGCTGTCCGTTGATATGTCAGTCAGGACTTTTCCTTTTATATACAGGGTGAATGTTGTCCGACCCGGAAATGGGGCACTCGGGGGGTGAATTGGAACAAATTTATCCTTAGCAACAATGTAATCTAAGGCTTCGTTATCGAGATATTAACGAAAAACCCCGACCAATCAGAGCGTTGGATACAAATCGCAGCGCGTAGCCACCGCTAGCGCGGGAACTCGGCTGGCAAACTCGCGCTCTGATTGGTCGGGGTTTTTCGTTAATATCTCGGAAATGAAGCCTCAGATCACATTGTTGCTAAGGAAAAACTTGTTCCAATTCAACCCCCGAGTGCCCCCTTTCCGGGTCGGACAACATTTTTGTTACACCCTGTATATAGAGATTTAATGTACAGCGCCGAGAAGGCTTCAAACACTCATCCAGGATTTACTGTAGTTCGAGTTGAGGGACGATCGAGTCTCTTGTAAGAGCACCAGCCATCGCGAAAAGTTTCCTCTGTGATCGTCTAGCGCCGATATCTAGGATACGTATGTACAAGTGGAGGAGAGACTTGTCAGCGTGCCTCGACGTCGTTGCATACGCGTCGCCTGGTGTCCAGGTTTACTGTACACGATAGCACTTCTGTAGGAATTGAAGGACCGAACTGACTAGAAAATATCGGAGGCGGACACACGTCTTTCACCGTGGCGAAATGTCACTGGTGTGGAGAGCGTGAACACGTGTTTCATGCCGTGTGTTCTCGTGTGTGTCTTGTTTCATGGACGACGAATTCGGGATCTGGGATCAAGAGCAGCAGCAGTAGCAATCATTCAATGTTTTCGCTTTGGAGTTAGCGAGTAGAGTTCATCCGCGCGAAACCGCTGCCTTGTGCTCGAAACTCGACCCGGCTCGTGTCCAACACATGCACTAAAAACTAACGATTGTACACTTCCGAATAGTTCGACTCGAAAGATCGACTTCCTCGACGTTGCGAGGGAAGATTCTCCGTACGCTTTTTATTTTGGTATCACAGTTAAGTGGGATCGTTTATGCACCGGGCCGATAGTCCACGATCAGGTTCTTCAGGAACGTGTAAATGTCTTTGAATGTGGGTCTCGAGGCCTCGTCCCTTCGCCAGCACGAGCACATCAGTCTGTAGACCTCGTCGGGACACATCGTCGGGCGCGGAAGATATACCTTAAATGAGAAAATATTTCAGTATTTATGAACCAACGGTGTAGTGACTTATGAATATAAATTAGTTGTAGGTAAAAGGAAGTTTATTCTTATATGAAAATAGCAAATAAAATTTGGAGTAATTCAGGCTCGAAGGTACTCCATTAGACTTGCGGTGAGTCGAAAAATCGAAAGGATATTGTGGGATCGGGAACTCCATACCCAACAAAAGAGCAAATAACATCTTGGGAAAATAGGAGGGTTCCGTGGAGTAGTGGACAGAGTCGCTGCTTTCGGCGCCGGGGGTCGTGAGTTCGAATCCCGCTTGGGCCCTCTCATTTTTCCAACTCTCCTACAATATCCATTCAGGACTACGTGATATTAATTGAAGCAACTTAGTTTGCAGAGATTTAAATTGGGGTAAACTAGGTCAGAAATACTCGGGTTGGATCAATCCAAGGCCAAGAGGCTCGAATCAGAATCACTTAGGATCCAAGGACCAAATTTGAGACCTCCCAGGCTCAAAGACCAAGATTTCTCTGACCCAAAGATTCAAGTCTGGAACTCGTCAGGCCTTAAGCACTTATACTTCAGACCTTCCAGACCTAAGGAGTGAAAGCTAAGACTCATTACATTCAAGAACCTAAGCCCAAAACCCTCTAAATCCAATACTTCAAGCCTAAAACCTTCTAAATCCGAAGACCCATTGTCGAAATCCCTCAAACTCAAAGATCAAGACCGAGAACGTCTCAAAGTTTGACCTGAGCATCTTAGAACTATGGCCGTAAACATGAGGATCTTGAAGTCATGGACCGAAATCTGTGAATTTTTACGCAAGACCTGGATTCGATGAGCCCCAGCTTTGGGTTTGTTTGTCTAGGAGTCTAGGCTTGGGAACTTGAGTCTGGGGGATTTCCAGTTTGGGTAGTTGGTCTGAGAGGTTTTGGAATTTGATCCTTGAGTCTATGGGCTCTCTTGCATGAGATGTTGGGTCTGACATGTTTGATTTTTGAATTTAGAAGGTTTTGAGTTTTGGTTCCTCGGTTCAGGAAGTTTAGTGCTTGGGCCTTTGTACCCGAACGGTCTTGGACTTCAATCCTTGGGCCTGAGCTTAATCTCTTCCGTACGTGGTTATTCCAATTCGTGATCTTCATCTCTGAATAGGTCCATTTTTGAGTTTCCACGTCCTCAATACAGGTTTCATCATTTTTAAATGACCCAACTCCAGTCTCTCGGCCCTAGATTAACCGAGCGTGTGTTTCTCAGCTTAGACCAATTTGTGCCTCTTGTCTCTCCACTGATCTGATTCATGCTTCTAAATTGTGAATTGACTCCCACTTGATTTTTCAATTATAACCTACTCAGACTCATATGTTCCTATATAGTATCAGTCTAATTTGTGTCTGTTAATTCTACCCTCCAGTTTGTACTCATAAATTCAGGATTGAGAGTAGAAACCAATTTTTCGATTCGAATACCTGCAACTCGGCTCCATAATACATATGCTCGGCGTTCTGTATGACTTGATCGTTGGTCAGATGCTGGAAGGGCTTCTCCCTGGCCAGGCTCATCACTTCCCAGAGAGTGACAGCGAAGGACCAGACGCTGCTCGAGCAAGTGTACCTGTCCTAGAATTCAAAAGAGATCCAGAGCTCGTAAAGAATTGCACTCACGCGTCTAGCGTGTTCAGGACAGTCTATCGATCAATCTAGAACGCTCGTTACGGAGAAAATCGCGGTACAATTTCTCGCGGGAGCGAAAATCATTTAGGCTCACCAGCAGAATGCTTTCCCACGGCAGCCATCTGATTGGCGCCGGCGGTCTGCCGCCTATGTCACTGTAATCCTTCTTGTAAAGGTCACTGCACATCGCGATGTCGGTCACTTTCACGGTGTAAGAACGGCCCACTAGACAGTTTCTGGCAGCCAGGTCCTTGTGCACCAGATTCTTCGACTCGAGGAACCTCATGCCCGATGCTATCTGCGCTCCCATGTACAACAGGCAGCTCTGACTGGTAACAGAGAAACGTTGCTTTTGAGCACGGTGACGTTAATTGATTGACTTACTCGTCGGTGTGTCCACGGGACAACTTTATTTCGATGCGTGCGCGATATCGATCGGGAAACATCTTCCCTGGGGCCAGGGACGCGAATTTATCGTCGATGGTAACGGTGACATATGACTGTGGATATTCTGTGAACTTATGGCACACGCAAACGCGCGGAATATAATGATACAGACTGCTCACGGAAGTTCGATCATGATTTTATAATAGTTTCATCTTACTGAGACGAAATATTTCATAAATATTATTCATTTTGGAATTTTAGTGACGTTGATTTTAGGTCAGTGTGTCGGAATTACTTTGGAAATTGTAACCGGGGTATTAGTATTGATTTGTAATATTAAGCGATCAGTGGACTTGAAATATGTGGAATCATTCCGTCGATTTATGATATTAATATGAATCGAAGGGGAATAATAATTAATACGTGGCCGTACAGCGAATGCGTAATCGGAAATTAATTCGATATTAATATATTCTTTGATTATTCTAATTTTTCATAATTTGCTATCAGTCACAGAGTGGCATTTTTTAAATTTGTTAGCCTCAGAATTAAGATATTGCAAGAATTAAATCCTAATTCGTATTAGCTACCATAGCAAGTCATTAGATTAATAGGTGACACTGACATTAATTTGTTCCTTTCACGATAAGATTTTCTTCATCACAATATTTAGAGTAATTAACAAATGTCTGTATATATGTATATATCGAAAATATAAATACTTTAAAGAAGTGTTCTCACAGAACATCTCTTTTATCCAATATTAACCCTCTGCTGCTTAAAATTAATTTTTGTTCTTCAAAAATTTCTTTATCTGTATATGCTCTTCACTACTCACCAATTGAACATATGGAATTTAGATTAACAATTTGGAAGGTTTTAGCTTTTTCGAGAACAGGTTATGACTTTAAGGTCACACCGTGTAGTAGTGCATTTGCAAATGAACAACTACATTGTAACTTCCAAGTTATATCGATCACTGTGAAAGAAAAAATTCTTGCTTCCTTAATAATGATAAAACTGGTATACGACGTTAAAGTTACACTGAACAGTAGGGGGTAAACATACAGGGTGTCCCACCTAACATGAACACCTTTAGTATCTCGCTTGTCTTTGATTTGCAGAAAGTTTATGTTAATAAATGCTCAATGTGATGTTCATCAACTTCGATACATTTTTTCACTAATCCTTCTATCGTAGTTGTTTTATGATTTAAATATATTTTCAAGGTCACATGAAGGTCACACTATTATAGGTTATTGGATTGGTGTCCATTTCAACTATTACGTCACGCTGATAAAAATATATAGTCCCATTTAAAAAAAACTACGATAACCTTGAAATTTCAAAAAATATGACCTTGAGACAAGTTTTTGTTTATCATAGTGTTTGCTCCTTCTAACGAAATAAAACTTTCCCATCACAATTTTTTGTATCTTTAAAAACAAGTGAGATATTCACGATGTTCACATTAGGTGGAACACCCTGTATAAAAAGATTATATCTAAACATGGAAACTAGATAAATAAATACAGTATCGTTAAATGAAGAAATTTCTGAGTCACAGTATATCATTTATCAAACACGAATGACTAACAACTAAATCAATATATCAATCCACAATAATTTAATTCAACCGAGAAACCAGCAATTCCTCAACCAAAGGTATTGAAGCAAAAACCTGTAGTCAGCTTCGCTCCACGCATCGAGAAGCATTACTGTCACTCGTAAACGACGAACGACCTTCATCGATCAAAGGTCCTCTCCGATCGCGGAAGTTATACGAGTACGGGATAACAGAGAGGGGAAAAAAGGGCGGGAAAAGTGAATGTCCGTTTGTGAATTCCAACATCACAACCGCATCGGGGAATGAACGCGATTCCGTTTTTGCAACGCCCCCTAACCATTCTTACCCTTGGAGGATGGGGAACCTATCTTTTGGTTTTAAACTGTTTTCACTTTAAAATATCATACATAAGGATTTTTTCGGTAGTCGAATTCACATTGCATTTTGAGAATTAAGTTTTGACAGTTTACAGCTGTTAATACTGTTAATATATGTAGCCAAAAACGTTTCGCTCTTATTGTGTAGTATTTAGATATTATTCTCTTACTCTACTTTCATGTTGGAGATATTCGTCGAAGATCAACGTTTATACGTTGTGAATATAATATGTTTCTGTGTGTTGTACTTTGCTTCATAATATATGTATATATTACACACGACGATATTATAGAAATATAAGCAAGAATACAATAAACAAAATATTTTCATGCGAAAATTCCTTCTTATATATTGGTTATCATTTTTACTCGTGAAATTAGAAATATAATTTCTTAACATAATTTTTTATTCTAAAACGGCCATTTTTCTCATCTAAAACTAAAATAAAAGATGAATTCTTTGATATTTTTAGTTGTATAGCGTGAGTCACGTAACTGTACCATCTAAATTTACTTATTATTTTTTTAGTAATATACATATATTACTGCAGAAGTAATGTAAGCAGTAACAACATCGAATTATTGGACCGGAAGGATATGTTTGTAAACATAGAACTCCTGTATCAAGCAGGCACGTGCTATATGGACTTGTCATATACAGAAGTTCCATCAGCTTTCACAGATGAATATTTCGGTAATTAGTTTTTCACCACATATACGTTAGTATATTTTATTCAGCATTCAATATTCATTCAAATCTCAGAGTCAAATATTACATATTATAACACAAAAACTCACGATCATCTTCATATCTCAATAAACAAGCTAAACATCAAAAGAACTATTTATTACATTGTATGTCCAGATCGATATCAAACAATTTTGGTGTGAAACATTTTTAAATAATAAGTAGTTTATGAGTAAATTTAGGGGGTATAGTTAAGTGGCTCACCCCGTATAGAGGTCTTTTCAATTTTTGTTACCGTACCGAATAGGAAGCCTATTTTCAGGCTCCAGAGGGGTAGCTTATTTTTCGTAGTATAACAGTGTAACAAATATATAAAAATTCCAATTCGAAAATACAAAAAGTCATAAACAAACATTGCCTGTCCTCTGAAGGTTAAGATTGCTAGTATGTCGCGGGATCTAGTTTCGGTATATACAGGATGAGTCAATCAGAACTGCTATATAAAATAACTTATTACCCATTAGTTGTATTAAAAAATGTTTTAGCTAATTATATTGTATTTTCACGAATTATATCATATTTTTTTTAGATATCAATGTGACCTTGTGCTTTTTCAAGGTCAATGCATCTTCTTTTTAATACCACCATGCAATATGTCGTTCAATTCATACTTCTATTGGCAACAACGTGGTATTAAAAAAAAATGTATTGACCTTGATAAAACTCAAGGTCACCTTGTTATCGAAAAAAAATAAGATCAAAAAAATTCAAATTCTATCCATCCGATATATCTCTTGAAATGCAACACAATTCGTTGAAACTTTTTCTGGTATAATCAACTTGTTGTGTATCAGGTAATAAGGCATTTTAGAGAGTATTTCTTATTGACTCACCCTGTATCTGTCATAAAGTATAGCCCAGACGATCTCACCTGAGGGCTTTCAAATTGCAGCTCGGCCTAAGCGTTCCCGTAAGTGGCACACTGTACTGAAGATAATGGGCGAGATCCCCGAGTTCCGTGTACTCGATGATCGTCCACGGGACCGGCTCCACGGAACAGACACCCAGGATCCGTGCCACGTTCGGATCCGACAAACAGGAGAGAAATCGGACTTCCCTTATTTGATCCGTGGCGCTACCGCCACGAATGTCCCCGGTGCAAGCGGGGACCCGCGCCACGACCAACCTCGGTGCATCGGCAATCGCGTCCTCCAATCCGATTGCTTCGCACACTATCGCCTGTGGAGGATAACAGAGAGATATACAGGGTGTTAATGAAAATATGGGACACTTTCAGAAGGTGGATTCTACCCGCCGATCTAAAACGACATTGCATTTAAGGCTTCGTTTCCGAGTTATTAATTGTTGAAAATACGGAAAAAATACGCGTGAAATGCGTGTGGCGCGATGGATTATACTACATAGGTTATTATAAATAGAATACTAAACCCTGTAATTAAGGCTTCAGTTTACTGTGAATTTCACCTTCACATTCTTGATTTTCGTGTCGAATTGTGTAGTTTCTTCTAAAATCTAGTTTTGCATATAGAATCCACTCTGTGAAAGTGCCCCCCAGTTTTGTTAACACCCTGTACAGTAGAAAGTTGGATAAGTGCCTAAAAATTGGGACCGAAACTGGGCGCTTATGAAGTATTGGAATCGATTCTAAATATAGAATTCCAAATATATAGTACAAAAGAAACAGCGAATGAAAGAGAAGAAAAAAACGGGCGCTTACGCTGTAGATTGTTTCGGGCACTTATAGAATTTTTACTGTATTTTGAATGCAACCAAAAAATTTCGTGTGGTTTTTGGTAGAGTTCGCTGCAGTGACTTATTTTGTTATAACTTGCAGTTTCTATGATTTCCTCATTTGATGTAAATAAATTGTTTCATCATTGACTTTAAACATATATAAAAAGTTCTTGAGACGTTACTTTTGAATTATTTTCAATAACTACACGGAATTCCTTATTATTAAGAACGCAAGGTTGTCCTGAACTAGGTGAATCTTCAAGTGACTTATTAACAGAAAATGTTCTTTGCACCATTTCTGCGCGGCACGTTCTTTTACCACATCTTCTTCAAATGCCATACATATCTTGATTCAAGTGATACTTAAAAAGGTACTTAAAAAATTTTTTTTTTTTATTATAGTATAAAAATACTTTAAAAGGGGTTTTCTTAGGTGCAATGCAAATCAAATAAGTATAATTCTTCAATGAACATTTGTTGGCTGCAGCAGGGAAAATAATACCAAAAACTAACTTCTGGAATTGCCTTCACACGGATACGTCGCATTAGTCTAATCAATTCGCAGTAATACAGTAATTACCGATTGGCCAGAGAGAAGATTTATATTCTTCTTGTTATATTTTTAACAAATTTCAATATGGATTATTGAGGAGATTATACTTTTCAATTCCTTTTGCTCGTCTCATTGCAGTGTCGGAAATTTTAACAACTAATGAACGTATTATCGGCGAATCAGTGTCCCGATAATCAGATCGTCGATAATTAAAGAATCCGTTTAATCCGTATTCTACACCTCTGTTTTGAATGTTTCGCTCCCCTTTATGAATTCCAGTAACTAAATTACCTTATTTCTATAATTTTAAAACCTCATGCACTTTAATTAACGATGAAATAAAAATTTTTAATCGGAATCATGGCTTATCTACCGCCTTAGCCATATCCAGTTAGACTATTGTGTTTCTTGAAATAGATTCACGTGACGATTTTCCAATTTCGATTTTGTGCGTTTATTAGAACGGTGTACAGATCTTATTCTTTTATCACTAGTTGTCTACCTTACTTCTAACTGATGTTTAGACTGCGAATTTTACGTATTTATGACAGATAGCGATAAGAAATACAATGGAAAAATCCTTCTATAAAACCATCCTAAAATTTTCAATCCTTATGTATTGTAATTAAAATAAAAACAAATCACTCTTTTTCGAGGGACTATAATCTGTCCTTCTCTGGAGAAACATTTCTCAACACGATTTCAGATATGGCATACTTGGTTCGTTTTTATTTTAACTACAATATATAAGAATTGAAAACTTTAGGGTGGTTTTATAATTATGCCACGTAGTGTATTCTTGACTTAACGAACCCTTCTCCTGCAGAAAATAGTTTCTTTGTGGCTATAGCTTTTGTTGAAAAACATAAAAATGGATACTTGAATAAACACTGATTACCACCGATACTTCCCAAAACAATCGATAAGGAAATTTACCTCTGTACACACGTATCGTATGGGCGTAATGTACCTACAGTGTAAATGCATTATCCTCTAAACCCCGCTGCCGTTCCCTCTTCGATGTTTCGCGAGCAAAGTTTCCGTGTAGTTCGTAGACGTCCATATTATGGCGTATTGTCAACTCGTAACAGTCCCGCATTACAACCGACACGATATCGTCGAGTTTATCGATTAGGGTGATCGTATCGCGAAGTCAGTACAATGCAACGCGGCAATTGCATGTTATAGTAGTCTTAGCGGTGAACTTTGGTTACATAAATGATCAATTGTATAATTTAATATAAATAATAATAATAACCATTTCCATTTGGATCGTTGTTCTTCGGTGATCTATAAAACTTAACCCTTATTTCCTCTTATTTTCCCAATTTAATTTGTCGCTTGGTGTCAAATTGACACGGTGATAAAAAATTGATATCAAGGAGAAATATACAGGGTGTAACAAAAATGTTGTCCGACCCGGAAATAGGGCACTCGGGGGGTGAATTGGAATAAGTTTTTCCTTAGGAACAATCTAATCTGAGGCTTCGTTTCCGAGATATTAACGAAAAACCCCGACCAATCAGAGCGTTGGATACAAATCGCAGCGCGTAGCCACCGCTAGCGCGGGAACTCGGCTGGCAAACTCGCGCTCTGATTGGTCGGGGTTTTTCGTTAATATCTCGGAAACGAAGACTCAGATTAGATTGTTGCTAAGGAAAAACTTGTTCCAATTCACCCTCCGTGTGTCCCATTTCCGGATCGGACAACATTTTTGTTACACCCTGTATAGTTCAATTTGCAAATTCTTTAACCCCTTGCACTATTCGGAACCTCGGGAAAAGTCAGGCCAAACGCGGCTGCCTCGTTTGTCGCGGTGAATGGCGAGCGGTGGAGCGCGCGTGCCGAAACTTGAGACCTATTCTTACGACCGAGCGCAAGGTAGTCGTGCTCGTATTTACTTCACGCGATGGAACTCAACAAAATAAAAATATGTAAAAGCAAATCCACGGTAGTAGTATTTGAACATCAAACCTAAAACTGAAAAACACAATATAAACAATATAATTAATAATATAATATAATTCGGCCTGAAATATCGAGTACGAGTCAGGCTCGTGATATTCATGTTTGGCCCGAAATGTCGATCACGAGCCTGACTCGTGATATCCACGTTTGCCGTGAAATTGAACAACGAGCCTGACTCGTGATATTCAAGTTTGGCCTAAAATTTTCATCACGAGTCAGACTCGTGAAAATAGTGCAAGGGGTTAAATAAAAAGTCACGGAGCCTCAGCTAAATGTACCTATACATGACAGAGTGATACCGTTTATCAAGAGAACAATGTATTAAATTGATACAAGGGACGGATGAGGGTTAAGACCAAAGTATTCGTTTCTTCAAAATATATGGACAAATGTGTATGTAATTGCCATAAATACCATTATTAGATAGAATTTATGGGTAACTTCTCGTTTTTATGGACTCGTTATTTGGGGCAATTACTGTTATTATAGCAAAGGGGAGGATTCTGCTACGGTTTCATTGACTTCTGCTTTGCTTCTTTCTTACACCTTCTCAGTGACCCATTTCAATGTTCTTCCCTCTCTATCATCGTCAAGATAGAGTCCCTTCACTCTCAACTAGCCTCACAACATACCGATGATGGCGATACGAAACAGAGATCTGCGAAGAGTGATTATAACGAGAGAACACTGAAGTAATTAGCTTGCAAGTTATAAATCTCGTTCCCAACATATTATACTATTCCATTACTACTACTATACATACAGGGGGTCTCATTTAAGTACGACCCCCAAATACATTTCTTAATTATGAAACCGCAAACAATATTTTATACTTAATTTTGAATCGTATTACGTGGTCAGTATTCTGCAGGCGTTGTTTTTTTTCAAATGATGTTTTTTCTCAAAGTTTTCAGATTGTCGATGTTTTTTTTTAAATAAATACATATTTTCTCAAGATCATGTCATAGTACACATTTGAATGTATTTTTTTCGTGAGCTACGCGATGCAATAGGAACAAAATACGTAGTTATTTAAAAAAAAATATCACTGACCTTCAAATCTTCGAGAAAAAAACATTTGAAAAAAACACCTGCAGGACACTGACTACTTAATAACATTCAAATTACGAATAAAATATGTTTTGCGTTTTCACAATTAAGAAAGATATTCGAAAGGTCACACTTAAATGAGACACCCTGTATTATCCCAACATATGTCTGAAAAGGAGGAATATTATTCCTTCATAAGGTAGAGACTATGAATGTTTCACTTGCATGATTACTAATATCAAATGAGCTTCATTTAACAAAACTTGTCAAAAATTATTATATTCTTCAGCTTTGGCCAAATGTTTAGGCACCTTTATTATTACATCTTGCTGCGAGAACTATTCCTTTGAAACCTTTCTATCGTTCAACGTCCTTTGTTAGGAGTTCAAAGGAATTTTACAACAGTTGACAAGCTTCATAATGGGTCATAAAGCAACTGAGCGATCCATAGTCGACATTCTGTGTTTCCTCCTAAAAGTTACAGCCTACTGCTAGTACTCGCTGCTAATATACATCAACATGCTGTTAACATTTTGAAAGTTAGAAAGTTTTCCATGAATATGCCAAAAGAGGGTGAACTGCGTGGCCATCAAGGCAAGGTAATCCTCTTTTTTTAAAGAACAGGCAAACGAAAAAAATTGCTGTCATTGTCAGTCATTAGATCAAAGAGCGATCCAACAAAATATTAATGAAATTGATAAAAAAAATATTCCATTCAAGTTTGATTACCTCTTGAAACAACAATTTTTTTCCAAAATTCATATATTATGGGGTGTCTAATACTTTGCGCCGAGGCTGCAGTTTCTTCACCGCCTGCATTTTCGAATTAGTCGAGCGGAGTAGAGCAAGTGCGCGATTGCAGATGCACATTCGTACGCATATACAGACTCCTCTCGATTATTGTCCCAGACTCGGGTCCGGGAGAATAATTATATAGGGAGAACTGCTTAAGTGGTGGGGATAACGCCTGGACAATAATCGTGTAGAACAAGCCAGACGATAATCCATCACGTAGCTAAATGTTTCTCGTTCTCTTTTATACATACCTCGCCGATAGTCCTCGAGCCAAGTTTCTCGGTTGTACGTAGGCACTGTCGCGGTATATTGGTGGGTTCTATTTCCTTGCACCTGTACGGTTTGTTCATGCTGGGCGCGATGTTCCAGCTGACCACTGGGGCCGGTATCTGTGAATATTCGTAAAATTAATCGGCACTGTTACAATAAATCCTTTAACATTAACTACTTTAGAGCAGTTGCTTATCCAATGAATTTAATTTTTAAATGGTAAAACCGAGTAATTAAAAATAGCAGTAAATGAACCGATAACAGAGTTGAGATTTTCAGGGTCGATGTCATGTTATTGCGGAAACTCGTTAATAAATTGCGGGACATTTTCTGGTCGGATAACATAATTACTTGGGGAACGTTGTGCACTCCAATTTGTTCGTAACTCTGAAATGCCATATTAATAACACGTTATGTACTTAATGCAGCAATTAACTCTCGTAATCTGTGTTAACTGTGTATATTGTTATTTTTTTTGTAGTTGATTATAATGCACGGTTTAGTAATTACATTGCCGTGTTCTTCATGAAATTGGTAAATCATTAAGCAGTTCAGTTAGTACTGCTACACGTTACTTTAGTAAATTGAATTGCATATTTTATACTGTGAAAAATCGAATCATTATGTATCTGTGACTTTATGCTTCCAACATTATTCGTTGAAGTACTTCAAAAAATAATGATCCTAATTTCGGCAAAGGTGAACTCGTATTTCATTTTCACAATGAAAATTTCATTCTTAATTTAAAGTAACTGCCATATTAATATTAAACAGTTACAATTACAAATACTTACGAACCCTGCAAGAAAAAAACATTTTAATGCGACAAACACAGAAACATAATTTTTTTGGGCAACAGAACTTCTGTATAGTAGAAAGTTCTCCTCTGGGCCATGTCGATAGAAACTGAGAAAAATAATGTTTCTTTACAATAAAACTTATTAGGTACATGCAAAAGTAACAGCTATCGTATTTAAATTTATCATAATAGTATTATTGTAGTTTATTGAAGAGAAATGCGGCACTAGCCAGAAAAATGGCTAAATGTAATAAACAACGATAAATAGGTACTTCAAGTATAGATATTGTAGCAATCGTTCTACACCAATAAATATTTTCACTCGATGAAACGATCGTTATTTTCCCACGCAAACTGACAACAAACATAGTTTCAGTGGCTCCGGTTTCACTTCAGAGTCACGTTTCGCACTTTAGGCGGTTGCAAGGGGAACACGCAAACTAACCTTGTGTTTCTCTTTAGGTGCCGTGTGCCAGCGCTTCGAGTGGATCTGATCGACGTCCCGCTGGTGATTAGACGTGGCCGCGATATTGAGTTTCGCAGTTGGACTGGTGTAACTTTGAAGGGTCCTGTAGTGCTGAGAGTGACGCGCCGGGGAGTTAGTTGGCGACGAGGAGCAACTAGGCGGCCCGACTGTCGATTCCGGTCTCGTATCGAATCGAACGCTCTCCTCCGACAGGTTCACGTCCTTCAAGTCTTTCGGGGATTCTTCTGAAAGATCGATTTTTTCTCAATCCTCCATATCCCGTTTTCATTTGTTTCAATGGGTCGAAGTGTCGTCGACGGTCGAATGATCGACGTAGGGTAGTTGACACTCAATGGATCGTCGAAGGGTCGTCGACAATGATTGGGTCGTGAAACGGTCGTCCGGTCGTCAAGGGTCGTCGAGACGTCGTTGGATCTTCAAGGGTTGTCGAAAGATCGTGGGTCGTCGAAAGGTCGTCGACGGTCGTTGGGTCGTCAAACGGTCGTCGGGTCGTCAAGGGTCGTCGAGACGTCGTTGGATCGTCAAGGGTTGTCGAAAGATCGTGGGTCGTCGAAAGGTCGTCGAAGGGTCGTCGACGGTCGTTGGGTCGTCAAACGGTCGTCGAGACGTCGTTGGATCGTCAAAGGTTGTCGAAAGATCGTGGGTCATCGAAAGGTCGTCGACGGTTAAAGGGTCGTCGAAGGGTTGTCGACGGTAAAAGTGTCGCCGACGGTCGTTGGGTCGTTAAACGGTCGTCGGGTCGTGAAGGGTCGTCGAGACGTAGTTGGATCGTCAAGGGTTGTCGACGGTAAAAGTGTCGCCGACGGTCGTTGGGTCGTCAAACGGTCGTCGGGTCGTCTAGGGTAGTCGAGACGTCGTTGGATCTTCAAGGGTTGTCGAAAGATCGTGCGTCGTCAAACGGTCGTCGGGTCGTCAAGGGTCGTCGAAAGTTCGTCGATGGTCGAAGGGTCGTCCAAAGTGCGTTAGGTCGTCAAAGGATCGTTGACGGCCGAAGGATCGTTTAAGGGTCGTCCAACTGTTTGTCCAACAGAGTTGCTCGACTACCAAAATTACACTGTTCGAGGGATATACATTTCCTCAGCACCCCTGGAAATAAGAAATGAAGAGTTTCACGATCAAAAACTCACCGGAAGTGGCGACTATCGCGTACGTAGATTTATACTGCGGGCTGACCAGGGGTGAATTGAATTGTTCCATTGTCAAAGACTCGTGCATACTCCCGTCCTCCGGCATGTCCGGAGAAACGTGATTGGCCGTCTCTGTCAGCATTCCCCCGGGCGTTAAATTTAAGAGGAGACCCTGTGAACGCCGAGACCTTTGTTTTAATCAACAAAACATATTTCTGAAAACGTGGTACACTGTAACAGTCAATACGTATATCAAAATGTTTTCCGTCACTTATAATATTGTAAAACTAACTTTTTCAGTCAATCTAACTATCAATCAAATTTTTGATAAAGTTAAAAAATGTTTGATCTAAACCCGATTTACTGGAAAACGGTAGAAAAGTAAAAAATAAAGATAAATAGAATTATAACATCGTAAGTGGTGTAAAGGAATTGGATCGACTCGAAGTGGAACAAAGGTTTATCAACAAAACCGCGGCCTCCATTTTCCGGAACGGATTCCACGTCAATTCGTGTGATCCGAGGGTGACGAAGTTCCCGAACTTTTAATGATAAATTAAAATTCTTTTTATCGTGCCGGGAAAGTTTCGGCATATTTATGAGCCGGGCTTTTACCTTCATGTTTATGGCGAATCCAAATGGATTTTTCAACACGGTCGGCGAGCTCTGAAGTTTTTGCCGTCGATTCAGAAGTAGAATAATGACGAACACCAGCAGAAGAAGTAGGATAATGGCAGTCAGAACACCTATTAGTACCTCTAAATATTCCTGACCCTCTCCCGCAGCTGTAACTATGCCAAAAGGTTCTCTTTAATGCAAAACAGTCGGCCGTCATACTGTACCTTTGTTTTTGTTCGCATAAATCAAAAATAGATTGACAAAAAATATAAGAGTCTGTCTCATCTTCTATCCAGGATGCTATATATTGGCACAGATTTTTCACGAAACTTTTTTTCATATCGTACTTTAAACATTATCGCGATATAAAGATAGAGAAATTTAAAGACTTGTGAATGAAACAATTATTTTCTCCAGAAGGATGTTTTGCACGTGGATTATTATTACGAAGTTTAACGCGTTAGCTGCCACAGTTTTCACTATTAGGACAATATCATAACGAAATACATTTGTTCCTGTCGTTGGTATCGTCGACATAAGTATCTACGCGTTGGATTGAACACTCATTACTAGACTACTTTTTTTTCTAATACTAGAGATTTTAATATGTTAACAATAACACATAAATACTATTACATTTTACTAGAATTTTTAGTTTACTCATTAGTTTCATTATTACCCTACTAGCAATTATATTTACGAGATGCTCAATGCTTCTGTTTAGAAATGGAATATTTGACCATCATTGCAGTCAACGTGTTAATTTTAAAACTCTTGGCCTTTCAGTTGATAAAAACGACACACGCTAATGCAGACAATATATAATCAATCCATGGGCAACATAGAAAATAGACATCTGATTTTCTTACAAACAAATACTGAATTTTACAACTTATAATAAGATTATTCATTCATTTGTATAGGTTTATTGATACTGTATACTTATTTCTATAGTAAAATACACAACGTTCACGATGCATACTTTACTCTGATCCTGTAAAAACGTTGCTCTCGATTATAACTGGTGTTACAACCGGATAAAAAATAAATTGAAAATATCAAATGAAATTTTTCATTCGAGACTATTGTCGAGAAAATCGACTTTGATACGCGGGCAATTGAATAGGGCTTGTATAGCCTGTCTGTTCGTTACATTCCGATTCTACTTACTACCATAAGGAATACACGCGTTTCAGATGAATATTCAAAATCGATTTTCTCATGAACAAAGTCTCACATGAAAAACTTCTATTCTGTATTTTCGACTTATTTTGTCAAGTAAAATCGCTCCCTACCCGGTTGTACCACCAGAAAGACAAATCACCCAGAACTATTAACACGTCGTTTACTATCCACTCAAACGCGTCGATGTTAATACACGTTACCCGGAGCATTCGGGGCATCGTCGTTACGAAAGAGAAAGAAAAAAGACAGTAAAAAGTCGAGCGTCGCAATTCGAAGCGTCGTTCCGCGATCGATCACCCGGGGGAATCGTCGTCGAATCTTTTTCCACCGGAAACGGTTTTATTGCTCGTAAAAAGAATGCTACACCCCACGGTGCGCCTTCTCTTTACCCTTTCTGTCGCTTAAAAAATCGTAACATTTTTATCGGGACAGGTGAAGAGGTTAATCGAGGTTCCGGCCTCGAAGGTAAAACGAAAGGTGGTGGGGAAAAGAAACGAGTGGTGGCACGAGGGGGGAGGGCAGGTTAAGAATAAAGAGGGGCACGCCAGAAGACAGACGAAACGCAAAGAGCTCGATAGAAGCCGAGACTTTACAATGGGCCGTTACATTCTCCCAATTTTTCATGTCGGCCCGGTCGCTGTTTTATCGGCCGAGCGGTGTTTTATCGGCCGAGCACGCTCGAACCGGAAGCGGCGTCACAACGCCTCCTCGAGGTTTTACGAGGCGAAATAAATATGCCCGACCCGAGTGGCCTCGCGTGGCGATCAAGATCTCACGTGTCCGCCCCGGAGACCGATTTTCTTCGATCAAGCACCAGGACGGTCGAGTTCGAGCGGAAAAGTAAAATGGGCCACAGCCGACGCCGACGTGTCCCCGCAATTTCCAGTGTAATCCGCGGGATCGTCCCCGTGGACGTTCCGCGGGCAGCGGCGATCCGAACCGGAAAATTTACCTCTTAAATCACGCTTCTCGTTTCCATGGATCCGAAAAGGGAAATGGACAGGGACACGCCGGAGGGGCTTTTAATTCTTTCCGTTCCCGTACCCCATCCTGCTTCTCCGACACTTTTCTGCTTTACGTTCAATCTCGCTCCGTCGGTTCCTTTTTCTTTCCTATTGGACCGTATTTGTTCGTGTGTTTCCGCCTGTTTTTCATGCGTTCAATGAAGATATTACCAACGGTGGTCTGTTTGTGTTAATTTAACCTTGTCGCTGTTCAATTAAGTGGTAGTGGAAGTCTAATTTGCTTGAATAGGTCGGGCAATGAGGTGGTTTTGATAATTGGGAAAAACGTGATTGTTCTTAGGGTAATTGTTATGACGATTGTGTAATGATTTCTATAATTGTTTTCCGTTTTATTTGCAACGATTTGGGGGAAACTCGGTGTAGTCGGTGTTGGAGCAAACAGGACTGGCGAGGGAGGATTTGTAGGACGAGATTCGTACGAGAGAACACGTGATTACAACCGAGCGGATCGCCGCCTAATTAAGCCGTCTCTGTCACTCTTTATCTACGACCCACCCCTCCCCGTGGCCGATTTTCTTTTCTAATTATCCAGGACCGTCCGATTAACTGTTTATTTTAAATCGATGCCGCCCCCTGAGGCCTGCGTTTACCTCGCACTCTTGTTAATCCCCCCTCTTTATCCACTCATTAAGCACCTGCACTTTTTCCTCCATTATCCTCCTCTTTTCGTTTTTTTTATTCCACCTCGATTCCTTTTCGTTCCCTTAATTTTCTTTTAGCGGATAGTACCGCGCGGAAAAGTGAACCGCTCCCATGAAAAAGAACGCTCGTTTCGAGCTGTTCCAAATAACGTTGGAAAATGATTTTTTGCGAAATGAAGATAATCAGGTTAAATTCTGCATAATAATGTCAAAACCAGGTACGGTGGATCTTATTGCGTTGGGGTTTGCAGGAAGAAGCCAACGCGGAAGGTATTTCACCGTCGAGGACGTTTTAGTTTCACGTTTGGAGTACACGTAGATGTTAATTCACCGGTGGTGGGAAGCGTGACGTTTTTATGACGATCGCGGTGATGATAGAAATATCCGGCAGCGGAGACGAATTTTCTGAGTTCTTTTAATAATTCGACGTGCCTCGTGGACCAATTAACGTATAATTGCCAATTACACGGGAATTTCTGCGGAGAAATCCGTGCTCGTAAGTTGAACTAATTCGCGGATTTGTTGGTGGTACGAAAATGGTTGAAATTTTCATTTCGAATAAACTAATGTTCATGTAAATTTTAGCAGTATTAGGAAATTATTTCTTTAAATGGTATGGAATCAGGTTTTCATATTAATACACTGTATGATTGATTTCTCTCAGTTAGTATGAATATATGTATGTGACGTTCGTGATGTTAATATACAGGTTCTTTTATATCGTATCCTCAGTCTTGTGGTAGTCAAGATGAATAGGTGACATTGTTCAACAAGATATTCAAGTTAAAAATAAGTAGATATAAGGTGAACTAAGAGACGAAAGATATTTAATCTTCATCAGAATAGAATGGAAGTGTGCCTCAGGGGCTCTCAGTACAGAATGGCTGAAATTAATAATTCTAAAATATTTTATTTTTTTTAATTCAGTTTATTTATACAGTTATTTCTGAAATTGGTATAAATCCATATATTCACACATTGAGATATGATTAAGGGTTCGCGTTTAAATCAACTACAAAATATTGGCAAACGTTTATAAATTCGAGTAATGTTTTTAAAATTAGAAATTTGTTAAATTTTATTATGTAATAATAATCGATAAAATTGTTAAAGAAAATCAACGATTTTTTAAGCTAGAAATGCACTTATACTACTCTCAATAATAACAAATTATGAAAAATATGAATAAAAACATCCTTGCGATAACATTTTACAGTTAAACTTCTCATAATTAATTTATGAAGATATTGTACATCATGATGTGTCATTATAAATATAAAAAGAGGACATTTATGTCTCACGAAAACTATGATTAACTCATTTTTTTCCAAAAATGGACTTATATCACTTAAAAAAAACGGCTCAATTGGAAAATATATTTCTTTTATTGGAATAAAGGAATAAAATTGTGCAAAGTTTTCATGAATGTAAACGTTTCCTATTTTCTTCAATTAATAATATTAGTTACATTAATGAATTTTGGAACAATAAAATTATTGGTTATCTAAATAAACTAACCCTTCTATATTCGCCAGTTTGTTATAATTTGAATTTCCCGTAGGTGCATTTCCTCTGCATTTAACGAGTATACTCGTCGTCGGCAGATACACATTTCCGAAATAAAATTCCACCGTTAAAGGGTTAAGAGGTTGAAGATATCCCACCACTGTAAGAAAAATCCGAGTAATTACATTAAGCTTCACGAACAGCGTAACATTTCTCTCCGACATTTTCTTCCATCCTGAAGTTTAACAGAGCGCCACTCAGGTTTCTCGCGACTCCAGTATCACCGTGTTACAGAACATTCCAACAGCACGATAGTAATGGCAACGAAACTCCAGCCAATTATCATCCTCTTATTCGTTGATCCTTCCTGGTTCCCTTGTTTCTCGTCCAATTCCAGCCCTCGTTATAATTTCAGTCGAATATTCCATACGAACAGAATACTTTCCGCGTTTTCCAGGTTCCGTTGTTGGACCAGCGTGTTCTCCAGTTAGAAAAATGTGCTTTTTCGAACTCACGCGGTCTAAAACCGTACGGGTTTTCACACGCGTTGCCCCACCCCCGTTTCTTCTCCTCCTTTTCACCCCCGTTTCGCTACTTTTTTTGTTCCTTTAACGCGTAGTATCTTTCCGCCCCTTTACACAGGGAACAATCGAAATGCCTGTGTGCTTTCATATAGCTCACTCGTTACGACGTGCTTCTTTATTTTTCTCGACTGGATAATCGTGCGCGCGCAAAAGCGAGAAACTGTCCGTTTAGTCGTGACGGGTCCGGAGGAGACATTTATCGCCGTGTATCTTGACACAGGGAATGGAAGATGAGATTCTATTGTTGTTTGGTCCATTAGAAACGCGCACTCACGCCACCGTGTCTTTTGTAACTTGTGTGATTCTTTGTCCTTTGCCCGTCGACCGTTTTCATTCCTTTGATACCTTCCGTTGTTCGGTTGTATTAAGTCTTTTCCATTTGAGCCGTTACACCGTTGGACCAGCATTTATTCGGAGTTTTCGTGATCTTGCAATTGCGGAGCACCAGTCGCTTTGATGCTTTCTTTTTGGTACATTAACTCGTATATTCTCTTATACTCAGGATGTCTCTGAACTGGTGGTGCAATCCGAAAGGTGATTCTACGTTCAGTAATAAGTCGAAAAAACAAACTAAAATTTTTTTGTTTGTTACTTCCTTTTCGAGATAATTGAATTTGAATGTCTGCTGGATACTTGTGCAATTGAAACGCGTCTGTTCATTATAATCTGTTTCTACTTATTGTGAGCATGATTCGAAATTCAGGACTCGTTTGAAGCAGTTATCGTAAAGGGACACGATTTCTACACTTCATAAATTGTGTCACTTTATGAACTGCATTTTGGGGCCGAGCCTCCAGTGTGAAACTCTCCAGTAATGGGGATGAAGCAGAAGTATTTAACGTGGAGATTTTTCCGTGCAGTTATCGAGACTTTACTGTATCGAGTTTTCAACGATCTTTCCTTAAAGAAACCAATGTAATAATAATGAAAAAATGTACACTAAACAACCCAACAAGCTTTAAGCCACCCAATAGAAAACTCACTCATTGAGAAATCACTCGCAATAGAAAGCATATTTGCAAACAATGGAGAAACAAATTCTCTACGCGCGATCGACAAAAAAGTCTCTCAGTACCAGACCGTTGTTCGCGGTTCAGTCCCTCGATTCGATGAAATCGATTCCATCGAGCAATACGACCGGAATGGCGCAAGTTCTTTTCTGTCCCCTTTTCCTCGCTTCCTCCAACGAGCACCACTCTTAATCCGACTAATTGTTTACGTTACGACGAAGTTGCTACGTGAACTATAAACTATCCAAGTTTTCCCGTTCCAACCGCCTCCCCCTCGTGCCTCGTCGTGATTCCTAATCGTATACTCTCCTCGGCAAAGAATGGCGGCCCGGTTCTGTTAATGAAGTTACTTCGTCGGACCTGGCCTTATGTACTCACAAAACGGAGTGGGACGAACTCGTTCGCGGGACCATTCCGCCGTATAATCGGACGAAGAAATTAGGAAATTAATTTTCTGGTCGGCACGCTATCGGCAAACAGGAAAATTGGATCGTTTCGAGATATGGGGAACGGCGGTAACGGACCAGTCTGCTGTTGCCCTGTGGCGCGAAATTCAAATTAGAGGGAACGTCGGGGAATGGCTGTTCAGTGGCGAATGTACTATAGAAGCTTACTGATGGGTTATTCCACGCGAAATCGAACACTTTTTGGAGTAACATTTCGGATTTTGCTGATACTTGGATATGTGTAGTTTTTAGTGATATATGAACGTATCTCAAAGGATTTTTGGAAATTTTAAAAATTGTTGATTTTGCAGCTGTTACAAATATAGTGACAACGTTTTTTTCAATAAATCATAACTGTTGAACAAACAAACTGCGGTTTGACGCAGCATTAACTTCAGTCAATTTTCATATGGGCAATTTTAAAGATTCCATATTTTTGAAAATTTGTGCATGAAGAGGACAAATAGGATTATATCCTCATTTTTTCAAAATTTTAAATAGTGCCCCGCTATTACATGGCATTTCTTTAAAACAATTGCAAAATAAGTGGTTAAGAAATAGGTTTTCTTAATTGAAGTAATTTTAATTAGGTACTCTTATGTCTTTACTCTAAGCACCCGGAAAGCTCAGTTTGATCAGTATGTTAGTTCAACAGTCACGATTTATTAAATAAACCTTGACATTATATTTCAAACAGTTGTAAAATCAACAATTTCTAAAATTTTCAAAAATCCTTCGAGATACGTTTATATCTCACTACAGACTACAACATATCCAAGTCACAACAAAATTCGAAATGTTACTCCAAAAAGGGTCCGATTTCGATTGTAATGAGCCTGATACATATTACATTAATAAAAATGAAATTCTTGTTAACTGGTTCCGTGTCTTTAGAGAATATTCATGTTCCTCAATTTCGTCTTGAATTTTGTGTTTCGAATGTTTGCTGAAGTGTTTCGTAATTACAACGTATGTGTCTACTTTCAACGAGATGGAACCTCGTTAGCGGATTAAAAATTGAACCATTACTCTTAGTCCTTGTATCTGTCCAATAAAAAAACAACTGAAGACTCAAAAGTCATTAAGTGGGAGATTATAAATTCACCCTTCTTAACCTCAATAATAATACAGATTAATAAAATTATTACGCATGCAATATAAAACACATATCGTAAGTTCGGGTAACGTTAATTCAATTAGGGTAACTTTGTTCCAAAGTAAAAAAATGATCTTTTTCAATTTTGTAGATCAGCAAATTGTGGAATTAAGTTGACTTTTCCAAAGGAGTTGCAAAATCAAAAATGAAAATATTTTAAGTTTGAGACAATGTTACCTAGACTGAGTCGAAGTTATTCTAACGTACGGTATCTACAGTATTGAAGGACCCAATACAAAATTAAACTGTTTAAAAAGGGAATGAATTTTATATACACAAGAGAAAATATAATGATTACAGTGATATAAATTATACCGAGGAAGCGATTTACGATATTCTTCCTTTACTTCGCAAAGGTATTAGTTTACGAACGCAGAGCAAAATCGTTGTTCATGATTACCTAAGTTCAGCCTTCCCCCCTTCCTTTCCCTTGTGTCCCTGGGTACCGCGACAGATAAGAAAGATAAGGAAAGTTTCGAATGCTCCGGGTGTAATTAACTCGAGATTGATACGAATTAAATGCCGCCGCCGTCGCCGTCGAGTCACTTACTTGTTTGCAAGTTAAGATCCACCTCGGGGTTCATTGGAATTTCTCGGTTGCTGAACTCGGACGCGGACTCCTCGGTGACATTTTCATAGGGATTGGCTGAAACGAAGAAAACGTATCTTGGTGACTAAACAGTTGTCGGGTATTGCTTAATTTGTCTGCCAACAGAGCCTTGTCCTTTATCCGTCGAACATCTGCGACCCGTAGATTGGAAAGATTATGTGTCGCGAGAAAGGAAATTAATTAAAATTCTAGTTGCGGGACCTCCATCGCCCGAACAAAAAATATTATTTGGTTTCTATTTGGAAATCATCTGCAGAAATTAGCAAATGGATACAGAGATAAATTTGGAGAGAGAAAAGAGGGAAAATAATAATAAAATGATTTATAATGCGTGCAATTTATAAATTTTGAATTCAATGCTCGTGAATAAAGTATTATGCAAATAATGTACCAGAGCCATAGAAGAAACGAATATTATTTATTCATTATTAATTAATGCAGGAATTATATTTTATTTTTATGGTAGTGAAATGGAAGACTCGGTTCAACAAATTTAGATCGATTATCAGAATTGATAAATTCTTCGATTTAAATTTAATCGAACTAAGATTTAAGGAATTAAAATTTCGAAATACTTTATCTGCTCTGTTTGTAATCGCAATCCTTTTTATTCCGACGAGAGAAGAAGGATTCTAAGAATATAATGATTTACTATTGGTTATTTTGTTTAAATCTAAAAGTGAAATCTAGGTTCAGTTGGAACGGACGCAGATATATGATAGTTTATATAGACCCTAAATACGGTTGAATGTAATGTATATTTAATGTGACGTTATTGGCCAAGGAGAGAGCAATATTGAATTTAGTGCCTCTATTTAGACACGTCGATGGTCATTTCCACTGTCCATTAGTATTAGAATTTATCAATCCTAATATCCGATTTAAACTTGTTAAACCGAATCTTCCATTTCACTATCATTAAAATAAAATATCATTCCTATATTAATTAATAACGAATAAATAATATTCGTTTCTTCTTTGGCTCTGAACATTATTTGCAAAATACTTTATTCACGAGCGCTGAATTCTAATTTCTTAAATTGCTCGCAATATAAATCATTCTATTATTATTTTCCCTCTTTTATCACTCCAAATTTATCTGCTCCGTATCCATTTGCTAATTTACGCGGATCATTTCCAAATAGAAACCAAATAATATTTTTTGTTTGAACGGTGGAGGTTCCGAAACAAAGGGCAAATAAATCCGGCTCGCGCGTTCAAAGCAACAACGCTGTTCAGAATTCCCGATTCGGCGATCGTCTCTCGGTTAATCAAATAAAACACGCTTCGTTTCCGCGCCCGAATATTTTTCATCGGTCATTATTGACCTGCGGTCCGAGAAACACATCGTGATGGAGGGGTCATTTTACTTTGACGACCGATAAAGTTAAGCTATCTTTAGGGATGCTTTCAACAGTAAATACAATATATAATCAAATACATCTTGTTAGTATTTATTAAAGTACTTATAAATAATATAAAGAATGCCAAAAATAACTTTATTATATTTTAATTTCTTTTCTTAGCATGGAAGTGACATTTCAAAACAGGGTATCTCCACGGTCAGGTGATTTTTGAGCTCAGACTCATCTGAAATAAAAAATCCAATAAGATTCTTAATTAGTATGAGTGCAGTTATCATGGGAAGCACTGCTATGTTTATATCTGTAATTTATCATACTTTTTACGTAATACAATCATCGAAAAGGGGTACTTTTCTTTAATGTTTGTGTTGCACCCGCGCCGTTTTGTAATTTTTTAAGATAAGTTATTCATTATGCTTCCTTGCGATAGTGATACTCATACTAATTAAGAATCTTCTTGAATTTTTTGCTTCAGATAAGTCTTCGTTAAGAAGTCAGCCGCACCATGGAAATGCCTTTCTTTTTTGAGATGTAACTTTTATACTAAGAAAAAATGTAAATGAAAATATAACAAAATTATTTTTGGAATGTTTTTACATTATTTATAAATAGTTCAATAAATACTAGGAAGATGTATTTGCTTACATATTGTGTTTGCTGAGGAAAAGAATCCTTAAAGATAGCTTAACTTTTTCGGCTGGCAAAGCAGAATGTCCTCTTAACACGTAGACTGCCACAGTGAAAAATGCCGTACGTAGCCAGACACATTTTATTCCGTTTTTTACATCATAAATCGTCGAAAATATATACGTGTAGTTAATACAGGCTGTTGATTATGTCACAAATTATACTGTGATATGAAATTGATGTAAACATTTTTTAACGATATTTAATCCTTTCTTTCCCACTGTAGCCGTATGGTTACGTATTATAAATTACGAAATAAAATATTAGTATTGTGTATTTTTCTTATACCTGTGAGTGTATACTAGTTTCTCCAAGTCTTATATGGATAGCATGGCATAACCTTAAACATGCATTTAAAAGCTTATCGGTGAATTACGATATTATTATTCTCGGTTTCTTTCATTCACAGGAACACAATGCTGAACATATAACAATGTGTTGCAATATAATGAAAACTTATAAAACCTTAATTCCCTTCAAATATTTCGACAGGGTTTACTGCTCAATGTCTAGAAAAATTAATTTTATTACGTATAACAACTTACTAAAGTAAATGATTCAACGTAACTATGATAAAAGTACAAAAAGTAGGCCAAATAGCAACAATTGAAAAATGTCATTAAACGCTTTCAAAATGTTAAAAGGTTTTTGCGAATAATTTCATATGCCATAAAATACAGAGAGAAGTACAAAATAATATTTTCTTCGCAATTATTAAATAATTTGAGAATGAAAGAGTTAAATAATTCCGTCCTGTTTGCAATGTACCCGATATCTGGGTGACGTGACAGTCAACGTGTTAAACGGGCCCCAGTGTCTGATTCTCATTCCCATCTCGGTATACGTATTTCTTCCCGCGTCACCCCATGAATTTCCACAGGGACCGTCGACCTAACGGCGGTTCGATGATCGAGCCCTGTTAATTCAAACGGTCATTAGGATCTCCCGATGAGATTGGAAAGATAGGGAGGGTGCAGAACACTCGAGACAAAGACGTGACGAGCCTGGAAAAGTTACGAGCCCCCGTTACCCCCGTGCATACCAGAAAGAAGACGATCCGACTGTCATTAAAAGCTTCGTTCGTTATCGATTTAACAAGATCCCGTCTAGAGATCGCGATCTTCAAGCGGTAACCACGTAGCCCGGTCTAAAGTCTTGATTTTTATAAACCGTCTGAATCCCACGAGAACTCTCTAATTACGTCGACCAGGGTGTTCGAGAGAAGTTCCGCGGCGAGAAGTAACAAGTGTACCAGCTCGAGGATTAATCAGACTATTGCCTGGAGACCGCTCGGCGGAAGAGGTGATCGATGAAGGGTCAACGGAGCACGAAAGACGAGGGAGATAGAGAGGGGAAGCTTACTTCCGTCGAATGTCACTTCGCTGATCATGATCCATCGGGCGGCGAAGTACAGGTGGATCTTCAAGAATTTTCCGCGACGCTCGTGCAGACCTATGGAGACGTTCCGGGCGTTCTCCAGAACGATGTCCGGTATGTAAGAGTAAGACAGCGGCTCCTCCTCGTAGATCTCACCGTCGAGACTGAACCAGACGTCCGCCTTCGAAAATACCTGGTGCACACATGTGAATTTGTTAACACTAAAGCTACCACACGGCCGGTCAACTGATCGGTTTTAACCCTCCGAGTACGGTCCCTGAGTCACGCGTTCGCGAGAGCGACATGTACACAGTGACAGAGTCAGGAGTGGGGACACGCGTTCTCGAGAGCGAGACGCACATAGTGACAGAGTCAGGAGTGGGGACACGCGGTCTCGAGAGTGACACGCACGCAGTGACGGAGCTGTCGTGTAAATCGCATATCGACCGATGTTTGTTTACATGCGAACGACCGGGCCAAGACGCCGCAGAAGTATCGACTAATAACTATAATTTGTTTTATAATTCACGAGATTTTTATTCTAGTTAGTGTAATAAGAACCACGAAAATCCAAATGTAATGTGGAACCAGTTAATCATTACATTGTATGGATGGTTTGGTGAAGTATTGCGTGGAGTTCGAGTGCGAGAAGTTGTGTGTTGTACTGTTGAACATTTCTTTTCCTATATTCTATTCTATATGTACATATGTATACATTTTAGTATAATAAATTTTAATTCTTATTTGTAAAGATCTGCACACTTATTTTAAACATCCCGCAATTCTGCATTCATTGGTATCTTTTCCGTCATTTGACTTTACTACATTTCCTGTAATATATAGTCAATTCTGGGTGAGTGTTCGAAAGCTCCTCAGCACTGAACAGTAAAAACTTCATAAATTAATGGCCATATGCGTCTGAAACAAATATCACTGGTTTCAGAATTCCAAGCTTTAACATCGTGTCAAACCTCATTAAAAAACCAGCGGTACACCTGGGGACCTCTCCTTGTCAGTGCCGAAGAGTCTTCTAACACTCGTCGAGCATTTACTGTACATGCAATCAATTTCTCAATATCTGCCTCTCTTCCTGTTCCGGTTCTTCTAAGAAATATATGTAGTCTGTGCCAGCTCTGGGCAAATTTCATTTGACATGAAAATAAGAAATAATTATTTGAAATAATTTATCTCGAAACATTATTTTCAATATTGTTATTTGAAAATAAAAATATTATCGATTCATTTGAAAGAATAGCAATTTCAAATGGTGAATTAGTTTGTTATTTTTGTATTTCATATTTGGCCAAAGAAAAGATATTCAAAATAATATGCAACAAAAAGATTTTATTTTGAGAAATCTTTACAGCCATTTGCTTTAAACAGAACACGCTCTGAGATAGCTCATCCGTGAGAGATTTTTGCTTGAGTCCATCTAATATCGTTCCACTGGTGTGGAAGATGGAAGAGGGATGTTACTCTTCAGAAAAATGTCAATAAACCGAGCTCAGACCTACTTCTTGATATAATTTCGAAAAACAATTTCACAATTATTTCTAAGAATTATATTAAATGATTAGAAAATAAAACAACATGTTATTTGAAATAATACTTCAAATAATGTTATTTCCGACGTGATCACAGGCATGGAAATAATTATGAAATACAATAATATGTTATTTTAAATAATATTTCAATGGAATTTTAGGGTGTGAGACATTTGACAAGAGGGTGTTTTGCCGGAATATGAAAGGTAATTTGAATGTGGTATGACTTTGGTCGAAAGTGCCTGAATTATTATTTATGTTTTATTTCAAATTATTATTTTGTTTATTATTGCCGTACTAAGTTGACTGTTACCTGCACTCAATTGCAAAGAATATAACGTTTGTTTACAGATCGGTCATTTGACCGGTTTGCCAGAAATATGTATCTATAAATTGTAGGTAGTTTTAGTGTTAAATTATAATAACTAAAGTCGAGACGGACCACAGTAGTCCAGAATCAAAATTTAGCAGCTCTTCCGCTTATTTAGCTCAACGTATTACAAATTTTGAAACTTATGAAGTTTATTCAAATAGAAATAAGAACATATACATATTAATCAATTTTGGGAATCTACTTCGATGACCTCATCATTCACTAACCGTGGTCTCAACATCTTCATGAGTGTCTGGATTTTTAGAAAATTTCTTTTCTATTTTTTTATGGGACTGATAATACGAAAGGCTTGAATAGGCTGTGTATCATGTAAGCGAATGTAGAATAGATTATGGTATGTGAGTGAATTTAATATAGGTTGGTCGTGGGTATAAATTGTACTCAAAACGAGAGACGTTTCCAGAAGAGAAGTGCGAACGACATCAGTTTAGATCCATGTGATTCTTCAGGCTACGTATTGGGTGATTGGAATTTCTACGAATAGTTGCGCAGTTCGAGAGCGGAGGATGCAAATTTTTGGGTGTGTGTTGTTAGTGTGAATGCTTAAGAGAGAACAGAATTGCTTGTCGTTATTCTGTGTTATTATTTAGATGTGTTGTTGTTTTGTCGTTTTTTATTGTAGTTCCATATTAAATATAATTTATATTACTATCATTCATTGAGTATCAACCGTTCTATAACATTACCTGTACCTTTACATCATCCTTACAATAGTAAGGCAATCGTGAGTTCTGACGCTTGAAGGGGAGTTATTATGAACGATCGAGGAATGTTGTGGTACAGAATACAGTAAATCCTCGATGAGTGTTCCAAGGCTCGTTGGTACTGACAAGGAGAAGTGCTCAGGTGTAACGCTGAGTTTGTAATGAGGTTCAGGACAGCGATAGAGCTTGAAACTCTGAAGCCAGTGGTATTTCTTTCAGCCGCCTATGACCATTAGTTTATGAAATATTTAATGTTCAGTGCCGGAGGGCCTGTGAACACTTATCGAGGGTTTACTGTAATGACCATTATCCGTAATAAAGGAATCAGAGAAACGATATACCAGTGAATATGGTCAATAACTATTTACACGAACTTTCTCCATTGTTCTCATGCCACTCGTCTAACAATGAAATGTATTCCACATGTTATAGGGCACCTTGTATACTAATTACTGCACGAATAGATCTGCAATACGTTAATAGACCAGGTATAATAGTCATAATTATATGTGGTCACACTGTTACCCCAAAAATTCTCATCGCAAACAACAACGGTAGCTCGATTGTTTATAAAGGTCCGTGTTCCCGTTATAGGGCATGATAATTGGGAAATTGAGCGGTGTACACATTAATTACCGGACACATAATACCTCTCTCTCTCGGTGTTCAATAACTACAATCGCGTCATACGTGGATGGTGAACGAGTACCCGAATTGTGTGTTCCTATCTGTGTTTGTTTACGGTTTTAATTTCACCACCGGTTAAAATACCGTTTGATTAGAGTCACTATTTACATTAATCCTCGTGTAATAATGTAAGAATGCGTTATCTTGTCTACGCGAGTCGGCCATTGTGGTTTTCGCGCGCGCGAGGCGAAGAAAGGACGCTGGGCGTTTTAATAGGCGTGTTTAGTTGATGGGGACCACTCGTTCAACTCACCGTGTAAGCAATAACCGGTACTTAAGGCCCGAGTCACTTTTAACGGCCACGGCCTTTCATCCAGATGAAAGGAGATACGGAGCGATCCATCCGGTGGTATCGCGCGCTGACATTTCAGTGTATACAGGATGATTCTACTAAGTGTGCCACCTAAATTGCGTGTGAACTGTTTGTTACACGAAAACGCATTTGAAATACAAGTTATATGGCAGGGAATGGACTGTACAATGTAATAATTAGTTTCTTGCTATTTCGTTTTTTTTTACCGAGATATGAAGGTCAAATTGAGTTTTTTCATCGTAATGGGTAAAATTTGATGTTGCAGTTGGTAAGAGTGTTGGATTCTGAGTAAAAAACTGTTAGAGTGTATTCGTCCAAAATTAAATAGTTACCGTGATATTATTCTTTAAACGATTTTTATTGCACGTGACGCTTGAATTGTAGATATCTAACGATTGTCTGAGAAATTAAGATACACTTCCGATGATACAATGTAAACAATCAGGCAAAGTCAATTTCGTCGTTCATGAACAATGACGTACAATATAAGTCTTGTATGAATTTTACATTTACGAAAGTTAAATCATTATTTACTGAAGAATATTTCAGTAATTATTCGTTGTTAGACCCATACACCCACATAGATTTTTACTCAGCATTCAATACTCTTTCTAATGGAAAGGGTGTATTTCATTTAAGGTTAATCAGAGTATGTATCTATACAGAGTGGACCACGAAAGGTGGTCAACTTACATTATTCTACTGATAGCTGTTCGATCGAAGATTTGTTTAGTTAATATAACATGATTCAAGGAGAGCTTTAAGATGATTGTACTAAATTTTTTGTAAACTATTTTTTTACAGAGTTTTCAAGTTCATCTTCAGTTTTTTATACATATAGTTATACTTTTTTACGCCCATCTTTTAGCGGATATTAAGACGAATTCGCAGACGGTCATAACAAATCATTTTTTTCATTCCAAAAAATGTTAGATTTTCCTATAAAAAATTGAAGGTGACCCTAAACAATCAATTTAATGCTCTCCTTGAATCATGTTACATTAGGTAACAAATTTTTCGATCGAGCAGCCAGCAGTAGAATAATCTGAGTTGATCACGTTTCGTGATCCACCCTGTATATGTAGTTCAAAGTATTTTTGAGTGTTGAAGCTTATAAAACCAATTAATTCAATTGTCTATTTTTGTTTTTAATGAATGATTTTAATTGTGAATTGTAAAGTCAATAATTATTCTTGGAAATTGGAGTTGGTCTCATTCCAAAGAGCATACTTTTGCCAACAAAAAAATCTGTAAAATTAAAATCGACATTTTCACGACTTAACCCCATTTTACAGAGCACGTCACACGTAATTAATTAAAATCCGGGTTCTTATTCTTATGTGGTTTATTTTCATTCATTAAGGAAATTTACACTTTTAGTTTATAATAAAATACTATCCCTCGAAATGGTAAATCTATGAAACACAATGTTTAAGGAAAACAGAATAGAGGATCATTTCAGTGTGTTGTTAGAGAATACATATATTACATTATTATTGAACTCGTGTAATTTATTACACTTTTTAAATAAGTATTTTTATTAAATGTTTTTGTTCGTAAACGAAGCCGCTGACGTAAACAGAAATGTAAATTGCCTTTTTGATAATTGATACTATGTTAATTAGTAAGATTGATTAATTTGTTCAGCTGAAAACAGTCAACAACGTTCACATAAAATGAAAATTAATGAACATGTGTGTAGATATTCCACATTTTTAGTTATGTTTTCAATTTTGTTTTCAATGTTGATACTAAAAACAATAAACATGACAAATTATATGGTCAAGATCATTTCCTAAGTACCCGAGTTAAAAATGTGTAACTCTTATGAACAATTCCAATTAATATTTGACTTACAACATGAAATAAAATACTGATAAATAGGAAAATTGATTAAGAGAAAGCATTTGGACCACCTCCACTACTATTTAAAAATTCCTGCTTTCCTTTTAATATTCCGGCACAGAAAATGAACGACTGTTCCAGCAACCCACTATTTAACGTCAAGAATCGTCCAAGTCACGACCTCTTTCTGTCACAGCAGATTCACGCGAGACCAACGAATCAGGAAACATCAATGCATCCGACCGGTTCATCCGTGAATAATTTACAGTGCACATATTTTTAATCACTGGCCACGTAACCTCTTATCTAGGAAAATTATCGAGAGCGACCAGAGCGACGATGGCGAGGGCCATTAAAAGTTTTATCTTCCGCGTCAGCCACCGATGGAGGTTTATGGGGATCGGTGGCCTGGTCCACGGAGGGTTACGCATTAAAAGTATTACCTGCACATCGCGGGAGAAGTAATTATTGGTGTAAATGTGGACCGCCTCGAAGATCCAGGTTACCTCGAACACGAACACAAGCTCTACGTAGTCGTCCTCGAAAGTGTCGCGCATCCATGCGACCCAGCCGGTGCCTAGCGAAACAGAAAAACAACATCTATTTCGCAGCTGGAATTGATCCATTCTCGTCCTTGCTAAACAACTTCGTTAAAGCGGGACTACGAAGTTAAAGCCTTGAGCAAGGATTGATCTATTGTTTCTCTCGTTAATTGAATTGATTCCCCGGGTTCGGGGGCAACTTCCAGGGCGCGGGAAAGCTTTCTTCTCGCGGGAACTTCAACGGGTCTGTGTTTTGTAAAGCGTCGCTCGCGTAATCGACTCTAGTGTTTGCGGGTGCCAAGTGCCGATAAGTCTTCCCGCTGTCGAATGCTAACGGTAGGTAGCACTCTAATGTTTTTTCGACGATCTACGAATTAATATATCGATTCTTTCACGAGTGAATAATTATTTATTAGTGAAGTTTTGGTTAATGAATTGTTTGAAATAATTGGAGGAGATGTAGTGCGGATGGTATTGTTGAGCTGACCACTTGAAAGAAGTAGAATGGAGGTCATAGGTTTAACCCTTTCGAGACTAATTGGATAATTGCTTCCGAGGTAAGTTTTACAATGTCTGCTGGAATATTATACTCCCAAATTCAATTATTTATATTTCTGAATGAAATTTAGAAAGAAAAATATGTATTAGATGTTAACACCCGAAATGAAAAATCGACTAGAAGTGTATGGTCAAGTTATTGGGCTATGTATTAAACGGTTTACATCTTACTATTTATAATACTATAATTAAATACCTTATTCTATCAATTATTTTACCTTGTTAACTATATTTTAAGACATTTCAACGAATAAACTTACTTCCCAGTTGTTAAAATTCATTTGGTCATCAGTAACACATGATCACATTGTAAAGGATTAACGGGACTTGCATATGTATATGTATATTCAATTTTCGAAACTATGCTTAACTTAGTTTTTTCCATCATATTTGAATGTATTGTAGCCCGTACTATTATGTGATTGAATCGTCGTCAAAAAAATCCGTCTCGAAAGAGTTAATAAAATGCCATCTTGTAAATGCCACAACGACTGCAATTTACGATGCACTAAGATCAATTATACGTAGAGAGAAAATATATGGGGAAATAGTAATATTCTGAAAACGATATACAGGGTTTTAATAAAAATGTGAAACATTTTTACAGAGTGGTTTCTATATGCTAAAACGGAGATGAAAATCATGTATGACAAAATTGCATTCTAGGCTTCGTTTCTGAGTTATTAATTGTTAAAAATATGAGCACAATACGCGCGAAATACATACGTCTGGCGCGATGGGTTATACTAGTCGAACAGTTGGTTTCCAGCTAATTAGCTCAGCCCGATTATCAACAATTAATAACTCCAAGAAACAAAGTTTCGGATACAATTTCGTCATCAATTTTCGTCTTACAAGGGACATCACTGATGTATAATACATCAATTTTTATGCAATTTGGTACAGAGGTAGTGTTTCGAAAAATATTTTACACGTATTGTCTCCTAGCTTCTAACATTTACATCTAGGGGTGAAAATAGTGTTCAATATCTTGGGTGAAAAATACATTTTCTTTAACGTCTCACAAACTATTTGACATAGAAAAAATATTTGTTAACAATAATTGTGTTTTATAATAATAAAAACAACTACTTAAGTAGTTTTCCAAAATACTAAATAAAACATTATATTAAGAAAAATATATTTTTCACCCCCACTTCCGAGGGTTGCTTTCACCCCCCAGATACGAATATCAGCATCTAAAAGACATACCTGTAAAATATTTTTCAAAATATTGCCTCTCTACCAAATTGCTTCCAACTCGGCGAAATGAAAATCGAGTGATGTCATTTGTTAGTTTCCCATACAGAATCACTCTATGAATGTGTCCCACATTTTCATTAACACCCTGTCAGTTGTTTTCCTATTTCGAGAACCTCTCAAACAATCCATGGTATTAATCAAACAAAACCGTGTCCAATCACATCACCAATACAGCCGAATACAATCAGCAAACGGAACCTCTGAAACAGATCGATATCCGTAGATCCCCCCTCCAAAACTCACGGAACGACACACACGGACAACGAGGACGTTGCCACGAGCGATTTCTGGATCGAAGATATTCTCAAGGCGCCCACCGTCGTCGTCCAGTTTCGGCACTTAGCACCCTACCGCGTATCCACCCACCGATTACCTCTTCCATCTCCCATGTCCAGCCTGTAATTATCCGCGCCGACCTCGCCATCGATCAGCCGGCCCAGGCCATCGGTCAACAAGTTGTCCTTCCTTCTGCCGTCGTACGATACGTCGCCGAGCTCAGCCGTCGGGGAATCCGGTATGGTGTAGCTGACGACACCGCCTGAAAACACAGGAAAGTTTCCTGGTGACAACTTCCGGGCACAATGCCGGCCCCTTGTAAAGCAAACTGTAAGAGAGTTCCGCGCGTTGCTCCTTTGCTCTATTCCCGACACAAAGGGTGTCACGCCTGGGAAAGAAAGAATCGCGCGGTATTGTTTCGCCGGTCTGGGGACGTATTGTTTCGCCAACCAGCTTACTTTTACACATCGAAACGACTGTGTCGTTGCTGGTCGCGTCTAGCGACGAGTTTCTTCACTCTTGGTTTGTGCACGCGTTCGGGCGCACAGTGGTACAGATCGCCGATTTAGGAGTTCAGATGCTTAATTTGGGTGTGAACGTGGGAATTTCGGAACCAAACGTGGTAAGCATGTATTTGATGTTCATATGTATTAAAAACATACACAATTAAAAAGTAATGCTTTCTAATAATCATTGTTTTATAAATAAAATAAAAACTTCTTTTTTTTACGGAGTTATCATTGTCAATCACAAGTTACTTATTAAAAAGCATTACTTATTAATTTTATATCTTTTTTAATGTATATGAACATTAAATATATGCTTACCAAGTTTGATTTTGGAATTCCCATTTTTACATCCAAATTAAGCTTCTGAACTCCTGAATAGGCGTTCTGTAACACTGTGGAGCGGTTTGAATCTCGCGGGATTTACGATCGATCTGGTGTGTCGTAGGCGCATTTATTCGGTGGTTTTGATCGACGAATAAATCGTTTTACGTAATGGGTCGACCGGAAAGTTCGTGTGAGTTTATTTTAAATAAATTCTAGTGTATTATTTTGACAGAAAGTGATTTATTTAATCAATGGCATAATTTCCTTTAGCCTCTACTATTCTTTCCCACCGGTCTACAAGTTTTTTAACACTAGAACTACCACCGTTTACTGTATGCTAAATTACATTGTGTAATATATAATACAATATAACTTAGTACACAGTGTAATGTAAAGTGTATAAAAAATTAAAGGTTAACATAAATTTCGATAAAAGCATATCTAGGATTTCAGTAATTATAAAATAAGAAATTTGAAATGATTAATCATGTAATTGATTATGCCATGGTACAGTCAAACTGCTCAGTTGTTTAAAAGCCTCATGTGAATTTTTGTTTAGCCTGTAGCAAGAAACGTTTTGCATTATTATTTTCGTATTTAATTATCGTAATACTAAAGTTCCTATAATTTCGGGAGGAGTTCAAGAAAAACAGATATTTATGTGGATACGGGTAATTCTCCTGTGCTCATTTAATCCTAAATTCTATATCTTTATGTACAACATATGTGGGAGCAGAATGCCTGGAATGTATGTGAACATATATTTAGATATTTAGAGCGTGTGGAAAATGTTTGCCTTGATTATGATTTCATTGTTATAAAAAAGCGAACGTCAAGTATCATTTTTCATGTCTGCCAGCGGTGTCGTTTGGATTTGTCTCGCGTTTGTGTTATTTTCCCTTTAAAATACATTCATTTGTATTTGTATTAATATACTTATATTACATCTCACAATATTATGAAACATTCTGTACATAAACGAGACTTACATAGAAGTTTTGTACAGTACGTGTACTTTTTCTCGATTAAAATATATTTTCTGCTTTATATCTTCTTTGTGATTATGACACTGTTTTTAATTAATGCACGTACCATAGGGAATTGCGATTCAACCACACTGCTAGTTTCAGCCAAACATCGCGGTCATCCCCAAACATCAAACCATCCAGAGACATTCAAACATTTAACCGGGAACGCGTTTAGACATTCATCTGGAACGCATGGAGCAGCCAAACACGAAACTTTGGAGAATGCGATCTGATCTGCGCATTAATTTAACTTCGTGTGTTCAGGAATTATGTACAATTGGACAGTAGTCAATTATACTGTTTTGCGTATATCCTATTAGATGAAAATGCACCTATAATAATTAATTGACCTATTCCTTATCGTTTTGATTACTTCAAATGCAAATTTATAGTTTTTGAAATTTATTAAATTCTTGTACATGAGAAAGGCAAATGTAAACATTTTGTTCCATTGATAGGTTCCTTGTTGACCATATTACTAAGTCCAATCATAAACAATTTCTGGCATGGACGTTGCAAATTGCTACTCTGGCACACTGAAATTATTTGAATTGGACAACAATTACTAGACTGTGGATGTTTATGCACTTATAGCAGTTCAGACTTGCAAAACGTAGCAAAATAAAAATTCAACTCAAATTTAACAGTATTTACGTATTATTGTTAATACATATCGTCTGGTCCAGGAAACAAAATTCTGTTCAATTTTGATTCTTTTTTATATTACTGTCCAAATTACTAGATTTTCATACAAATCCGCAGACTAATAATTACCATGTTTAATAACGATTAAAAATGTTTAACAGATAAATGTCAATATTATTCAGTTTTGGCACTTGAAAATCTGTAAAACCCAGTGAAACGAAACTATTATTAGCAAAAAGGAATAAATGTCCATTTACTTTTTAACTTAAGAAATTTCATAGTGGTCGAATCATATTTTTCTATGGTTCTATTATCTGAAAAGTAACTTCCGAGTATTAAAATTTACATAATTATCCAATATCTGTTGATAACCGAATCTAATATTACTATTTCTTACAAGGGAAGGCACGGAAGTGTCGCCCTCCGATTTTGATGAAACTTTGTATGTCTGTTAAGCAGTCAAATATAAGGGGTACGTATTTGTTTTTATCGACTGAGACGCGACTTTAAGGGGTGAAACCACCCCTCGAAGTTTCGATCCGAATTTTTTTTGTTATAAACAAATTATATTTTGGACAATTCGTTAACACCATATTATTCTACATAAAAAACCGCAAACCTGGTCCATTAGAAGTTTTCATTTATCTCCTCTGGTTTTCGAGATAGTACTTTCGGGTCAAAACTTCGAGGGGTGGTTTCACCGCTTAAAATCGCGTCTCAGCGGATAAAAAAAAATACGTATCTCTTATTTTTGACTGCTTAACAGACATACGAAGTTTCATTAAAATCGAAGGAGGACACTTCTGTTTCTTCCCTTGGAAGTTACAATAGAAATAATAGAAAAGTTCATTCTTATCGTATATTCTTGGATTAAACAAAAAAATTTTTCTCGACTTTACGAAGAAAGAAGACGAAGATAATCAATATTTACATCCTCCATATTGATCTAACCCATTAAAAACAGTCTCGGTTCGCCGTGGCCAATAAAGTCCCAAAGTAGAAATACTGCTCCATTATGGAGAGAGGCTTCGGATAAAGTTGCTCCAGTGACCGATAATGCGAAAGTTTTCGCTGGCCCGGAAATTCGAAAGAATTATTGAGCAACGGCGGTGTGGCGTCAGGAATTGTCAAACCACACGGCGGATATTATTCCTCGCGAGAGCGTGTCGAGTGGGACTGAGCACTCGGCGGCGAGAAAATTAATAATGAACGGCAAAAACGACGCGGCGGCCACTTCGACCGTGTCGTGCTCGGAATCGCCTAACTACTCTCAATATTTTACGGTGCATACGTCCGCGACCGACAGGCCGTGTCACGCGATGCGGTCAAGCCGGGTTTCAGGACAGTGGCGTCTGACGACCGAAGAAAATTTCGTATCGCAGCTCCGGCATGGAAAAAAAAACTATCTTTTTCTGACTAGAGTATATATGGCGTTAATAAAAATTTCAGACACTTTCACATCGTTGATTATATATGCAAAACTAAGGAGAAAATTAAGGATAACGAAGTTGCGTTCGAGAATTCGGTTTCGAGATATTAACCCTTAACTGCTATGGTGAAATTCACATACGTTAACTCTGGTGTGTTATCTGAAGTGTAATTAGTCCAATAGGTGTAATTTGCAAATTATAAGAGGCTTGACCTAATAAAAGACTGCTGAGACACTTAACTTTGACTTGACATCTGTTGGGCTTGACGTGAATTTGAAGTTCTGGAATGGCTATAGAAACTCTTAAATTTGAACTTTTGTAAAAGCAAAACTATATTTCTTTTAATGCTGAGTGTTATTTTTAAGTTTTGATTAAAAGTGTAGTTATACAGCTTGAGTGTTGTGTCACTGTGTTTATAACCGTTACTTTTGTGGCAATGTCTACTAATATGTTATAATTAAGTATATGTGGTAGAAAGTAGGAAGATCGATAAAGAGGGGCGACCACTAGAACCACCATTAGTGTTTATTAAATTAGAAACAGCCAATAGTAGACAGACCCATTATCCGAGTGCATTTAACCATTTAGAGAGTTAAATAAAAGATTATTCATGAATTTATAACTACCTCTACCTCAGAGCAATCGTAGTAAATTATTTGAACTATTATTCCACTGTTACGTCATTATTCCACTTAATATTCCACTTGTACGGTTATCCGATAGCAATTAATTCGCCAGAATTAATAATGCCCTAAACAGTCACTGTTATAGCTAATAATAAAAGACGTTTACAGTAACTCGATACGTTTCATAAATTTAAAAACTCATTAGCAATACACTGTCGATACACGTGCAATTTTCTCAACGCGCTTATTAAAAGCACACGACACGAGAGTATGAGGGCGGACGTTACGGTGACTTTACCCTGTAATCCGTGGTGAATCCGCTAATCTAATCTACGCCAGCAATCTTCACCCCTCCCACAACGTGCCATCCAAATTATTCCGAAGTTCCATTGAGTGTCGTTCGAGCAATTTTCACGGAAGTTGCTCTCAAAGGCGAGGAGTGCACTTATAACAAGTTTCCAAATCAATCCGGTTTGCCGGCGTACCTCATTCGACATCGGCTGATTTTTGAGAGTCACTTCTAAAGTCAACGATAATAAACTTGATTCGTCGTAACGTCGTCAATTACTTTGTTATTCTCGCGTAATTGTAAGTGCTGCTTCGTATCTCTATTATGATATCATCTTGACATCGGCTAATAGTGCTGATGATATAAATAATTCATTGTGTATAGGCAATGACAAATCGAAATAAATGAAAA